AGTAATCGAAGCTGTAAATGGTTATTTTGAGGAGCTTGACGAATCAGTCTATAGAGATGGCATTAATAGACTGGAACACCGCTATGAGAAATGTATCAGCCTTGGAGGAGATTATGTTGAGAAATAAAAAAAAAAAATTTTTAAAAACCTTGTTTTTCTTGGTCAGGCCGGAAACTTATCAATCCACCCTCGTATATACCTAATGGATAAACCGCATGATTGATCACTTATTTTCTCTCTAATTGTTTCGGAAAGGTGGTAGCTTTTCCCGATGGCTGACTGGTCGCCGGCACAGAAGAGGGCGGCGGCACGCATGTTCGCCCAGGCGCTGCCCATTGCGCGAACCAAAACCCAAACCCGTCACATACCTTTAAGGAAATCGTTGCTGGTCCCATTGAGACCGTCTTGGCGACTGAATCTTGAATCTGACGAACCATCTCGCACACCTGACAAACGACAGAGCACCAGTAATAGATTATCGACGTCTAAAATTGAGTCAAATTCTGGGAATCCTGGAATTGACCGAAATAACCCTTGTACCGTTTCCTTAACGATCCTTCCTTCCCAAACAACTCATAATAATCTGCAACCATATTGTTTGTCCACCAATAATCAAGATGTTCCCGGTACATCAAGTATTGAATGTTTATCGTCTCTTTCAAATTCGAAATTCGAAAATGGTGTATGGCCCCGTCCGCCTTCCTTGTCTAAAATCACTCCAAAATTCAAACCAACAAATAAAATGGACTACGAATACTTCACAGAGCCTCATGTTGGCCCACCTGTACCTGAACTTCCCTCACCTCCCTCTGAGTGGCTATCCACACTACAGACGACCGAAAGGCAAACTCCTGAAACCAGTAAAGTAACCGTGACGTTCGAAATGCAATATGACGATGACCGAACTTCAAATGTTTCTTCTTCAGAAGATCGCACTGATGATAACATCAACAAAATCAGTAATCTCCACGTTTCTACCACTTCCATAAATATATGGCCAACAGTTACCCTTCCCATTGGCACTGCAGATGTTCCTCCCTTTGAATCCGTCCCATCCGTAAATGTCAGTTCGTCCTCTGCCCAAACACATTCGGATCTTAAACAGTCGCATCTCAGTTTTGTAACCATAGACGTATGGTCATCTTTGCCTGACAGTGAATTTCAATCTGTTCAAGAAACTGCCTCTCCTCCGTCTTGTTTTTCGCCAGAAATCAAGACGAAATTAAAAAAGTTGGAACAGGCGATTGAAGATCAACTTCCTCCTCGTCCGTCTGGGGTCAATGGATTTTCAAAATCTTCTTGGCCTAATACACCACGTCGACAGTCAGTTGTTTCGCCCTTATCGCATTCCGCACCAACCTTTTTGTGGCTTTCTTCGTCATTTTATTCATCGCAAACTAAAGAAGTGAAGGAAACAGTGCCTGTCAGTAACAATACAATTCTTCCATTAAAAATAACTAATTCGTTGTTTGATTCATATCGGACTAATTCTAAATCTAACTGTGAATCTCCTCTTCCATCTTATTCACTTCCCAATTTCTCACAGACTCCGATAGTAACTTCTCAGTTGGTTAAGCACCCTGCAGTTGTAACTTCACCGCGATGTTACGAAAATCATACCAGTCCTTTGGACTTTTCCAATGACTTGAATGATAATCCATTAAAATCCTCGACCGTACACCTTCATCCTTCCAAATCCTTACCAGCTGCTAAACATTCTGATTCCTGTAATAATAACAGCTTGTGCCTTCCTGTATTGCCATCGGTAGCTGACGAAAACGGTTTATCCGATCCATGGCCTTCCTCTCCCCAATCTATTGAAGACAAATCCTTTTCATTATCTCAGAACGACAAAACTCAGCAGGAAGATGTTGTCAATGAGTTTTCAACGATAAATGGAGAATGGTCGCCGTCCCCTTTTTGCTCTTACGAATCGCCTCCGCGTATCGACGACTTCTTCGACGATAACAACGAAAACGATGACGTAACTAGTCTAGATGTTACCTACGACATCTTTACCACCCCAGAGGTTACTTTTGTTACTTTTTGATTTGAACTGCTGGTGTGTTGTAATAGACCTTGCACTAATCTAATCATTAACCCTGAAGAGTGATGGACATAACAAAAACACATTAATGTATTTGAGCACCCTCTACTAGTAAAACCAATCGAAACTGTAATTTTCAAGTCTTGATATTAATGTAAACCAATTGCCCAATACACACGAAAGGTATGTGATTTTGAAACGGTCATCGACTAAAGGTCAGGCTAAATTTTGCCGTGAAAATTAAACGAAGCTGAAACAGCAACAAATTTATACTAAGCGTATGGAAAAGGATTGTTTATTGATAGACTAAAAATCGATTGCTTTTTTGTCGTAGTTACTCGTATCTATCAACCAATCGAAGCAAGCGTCATAGTGAATTGTTTTGCATAATGAATTTTACTACTTTGAGAATTTAGGCCGAATTCTAGTCTAATAAAATGCCTATTAGCATGTTACTTCCTCGAGCAATTTGTAACGACCTACTTTAACGATCGCTCTGTTCTTTTTTACTACCTTTTGATTTTGCAGCGGTAGCAGTAATGATTATTCAATCAGGTTAAGAAGGACGCGTACTAATATTTTTCGTTTTTTGTCGCATATGCAAGAAGTGCTAAAGAAATAAGCAATCAAAATTCTTCATACGACATAATAGAGCAGATTTTTTAAAAGTAGCTATGCTTAAATTTAATTTAAATTAATTTATTTAGTATTTTTTTAATAATTTTAATGAACGGTAATACATGGCTTTGTAATATGATGATAAACTGTGCCTTTATATTTTTGTTTTAACTGAAACCAGTTTTGTTCTGCTTTTTACGGTTCGGTCACTATAAATGTGACCTTCATTATTAAATACAAAGACCTGCCGGTGAGACATACAGTCTCGCCTTATCAGTAACCGGCGTTGTTTTGTTCAAAAGCGAATCATTGTTTTAGACAGCAATCATCTGCAAAATACCAATGAGTTGTGTACCTAATGGTAACTTTGCGATCACTTATTCGTTATCGACATATAACATTCTGATTCACAATAATCTTATATTCGAAAAAGGATATTAGATTATATTTTCTATTTCTTCTCCAAAATCACTAAATTGATCAAGCTTGATGGGCTTGCAAAATTTATTCGTATAAGACCCGACTCGATCAAATTTTCTTTTAATTTTGGCTCGTAGCAAGTTAGTGATAGTAATGGTGCCGTTTAATGTCTTCACTATTAACTAATGACACGACCCAATTATCGATTGTCTTCGCTGACCCTGATGACCACTATTTAAACACGAAGAGCATTATTTACCTACATATTTGTGTAGCAGAGACTTTGTAAATCCATTATTTGCTTCGTACAAATATCAATATATATATATATCTTTTGTTGCTTTCATTAAATAATTAAGTGGTCTAAAAATAGATAAATGACCCTAACGATTGAAGAGATCAGATAGGTTGCGGCAAACAGAAACAAAGATTGTGTGGTATACTTAGTGTGTACAGACTGTCCAAACACAGAAATGTTGTTGTTTTTATAAATATTTATATGATAATAAGTATATTTATAATGTTTATTCATTATACTTGAAATCTTAAAAATGAATAAACTTTGTAATAGATAAATTATACGAAAGGACCCCGGTAGATCCTTACGGAAAATGGATCTCTGTCAAACTTTGGATTCTGGTAATTCTCGTTGGGAAGAAGGCAAATTTAAGGGATCATATCTCAAAAAGATTACTTTTTTTTTCGACTTAGCGCTTATTGAGACTTGATCTAGACATCAAGAAGTATTAGAATTCAAAGTTTCAGTGAGCTTGACAGAGGGTCATTTATCGTAAGGATCTAGCGGAGTCCTTTAAAATTTTTAATAATAAAATTGAATTGGAACTTTAATATTCAATATGGTAATAACTTGTAATTAATTATAATCCAAATGACATATTTTCACGTTAATGGCAAGACCACTATCGAGTCCTCATGACATTCTGTGACACATTGTAGTCGGTACAGTCGTTTTGATTTTGCTGTACGTATGTACATAACATACATAAGTAAATAATAATAGAACATTTCGTTTCTGTTGGCCACGCGCACGTTATAAAGTATGTATGTAATTTATGCTCATCTCGGTGTGAATTGTGTCTATCCGACCTCGTTATCAGCAGAAGCAGCGCGTTCTTATCGCGGCGAGCGCAATCGCCGCCCGGCGTGAAAAGTTTTGCAGTCGCGGACCGCCGCCGCGCCGGCAGTCGCGAAAGTCTTCAAGTCACTCATTTAGTATACAACCGCCACATGAAAAAGACAATACAATCAAAATAAAGTGCGACCGATCGCGAAACGTCTGCGTATCTGTCACAATGTCGTTTCAAAATGTGTATAAATAATGTCAAAAAAAATGTTCTGTGATCTCCAACGTATAAATAGTTGATTGTTTTTTTTGTGTGTTAAATGTTATGTTGATTAATTAAGTGCTGGCGTCGACCGTGGAGAAGAGTGCGGTACGAACGCCGCCAGTCCACGGTGTCTGTGATAAAATCGCGCGACGAGATGCGTGAAGTCCGGTTTAAAAAGAGGGCGGCTAGGATATGTGCACCCATTAAAAGACTTTTCCTCCTTCTCACTGCCAAGGTCGGTTGTTACATTGTAATCTTCTGATAGAGTCGTTGCGAATGCCTTTTGTTTATTTATTAGCAGCGGTGTTGCTGATTCACACGAAAGAAAATCCGCAATGAATTTACAAAAATAAGTAGATATCTATGTAGTATTTCCTAATGAGATAATTATGCAACTATTTAAAACTATTTGTTAAGTATTTTCTAATCGACGCAGATGAATACATTTTTAATATCCAATGTTGACAACGTTTTACATTAAGAAATCGTTAGTTGGATAGTTTTAAATCGGCCTTAATATTATTCTTAAATATTTTAGGCATTTTCAAAATTACTTACATATAATCTATACTAATTGTAATACTATAAATAACATTCATTTACATACTTCTTTATAGTAATTTATTGTAACGAAACGTGTCGTTAAAAATTACACGATGTTCTTTATTATTGATTAGTATGATTACGATCTGTAAACCCCAAAATATATTTCGATAATCTTGAAGTTTCTTAATGTCTACCATCTTAAAATTAAACGTTTTGTATAGGTGAATTTGCAACACCAACTTAGAAGAATGATTAATATTGTCCCTTAATTTTCTGGTTATAATAGTGCGAATATTTTTTTTTTATTTCACCTATTAGTGTAGTTATCTCAAGTTTTCGATGTACATTTGCTGCCTGGTTAAATTGTTGCCCTTCGTTTTTGTGCTTCTCTAACTTCTTTGTCATATTAAAAATAGTGGTAGAGGATTATCAACCAATGCCAGCGAGGGTTTTATGATTTGTATATTGGCAAATTTCAGATTTCAAGATAAAATAGATTATCATTTGCATGTTGAAATTATTTATTACTGATAATATTTTGTATTACATACATATTATTTCGTATTGCTGCTAATGCAATAATTAATAATCGCATTGCAATATTGAAGACTATTGTATAACAACACTATTGCGTTAACAGGCATTGGACGGACACTTGATATTGGACAAACGACCTCATTAAACTGTGTTGTTAATTACCTGTGACGTTTTATATCAATATAGAGATAAATATTAGTTGTTTCAACGCAATAGCTCTTGGGTAACAATAATAATTGTATTAATTTTTTGGGAGAAAACGCTCTTGGTTGAATATCTTTCAATGTCCAAATAATAGGGTTTTAACAGTACCTAAGCTAAGAAAAGTACCATCAAATTTTAATGAAAATCATTGCTCGAAACCATCAAAAGTCGATAGATAAGCTGAGGATGAATGAAATGGGTGAACGTGTATTTAATTGGACAAAATTTTACGTGTATCCTTGGTTAATCGTTTTCTTATTGAAATGTTGTTTATCATGTTTAAAAATCTTAATTTGTAGTAGTGATGTATTAATTATCGTAATTAACGATAAAATAGTCAGTTTAAGAAATCAAACGTTTTAAAAATAAAATTTATTAAGGTCAATTGCATATTTGAAAGATAGTGATAATTAAAAGGATTAAATTGGGGATTATTCAATGATAATGGTTTTATTTTGTTATTAAATAGATAACTGTTGAGATAAAACTTTTAGTTACTACAATTAGTATGTCGCAAATAATAGTTTCATATACATATATGTACGAATTTAATGATGATCTCTTTGTTATAAACAGTTTTAGGAAGACAGTAGCAAAATATAGTATCTACGTGCTAATAAATGTGTATGTTAAGCGTCGTATTTTAATGAAATTTCTTCGCTTTTTACGGTTTTTTTTACCATCTTTTTCTACGTCTCAATTATACTCATCGTGATTAAAATAACTCTCGAGTGCTTCGAACTTGTAAATATATGTTTGTTTCAGCGATTAATGCCATGTAAAGAACTCTTTAATTACTATGTGCATGCGTCAATTTATTGTTGTTGTTTACTATTTCGATTAAGTAATGTCATCACCAAACGCCACCAATCAAGACGGTTAATTTTAACCGTGTAATATGTTTAAATGTATATGGGTATCTTTCTATGTTTGTCTCCAATTCGTCTCCTGTTAAAGTCAACCGATGCTCGTCACTCATTTAACGCTCGCCGCCGACTCGTCTTCCGATAGTCCACTCATTTGATGCTCATGTCCTATTACTGCACTCATTGGATACACATCTTCTGCTGTTGCGCTTATTCGATGCTTGTCTTCAATTTGTCTCATGTTGAAATCAATCGATGCTCGTCACTCATTTAACGCTCGCCGCCGACTCGTCTTCCGTTGTTGCACTCATTTGATGCTCATTTATTACTGCACTCATTCGATACTCGCCTACTACTGTTGTGCTCTTTCGATGCATGTCTCCTGTCGAAGTCAATCGATGCTCATTACTCATTTAACGCTCGCCGCTGACTCGTCCTCCGTTGTTGCACTCATTTGATGCTCATCTCCTATTACTACACTCATTCGATACTCGTCTTCTGCTGTTGCTCTTATTCGACGCTTGTCTCCAATTCGTCTCCTGTTGAACTCAATCTACGCTCGTCACTCATTTAATGTTCGCCGCTGACTCTCCCTTCGTTATTCCATTTATTTAATGTTCATGTTATATTCGCCTCCTCTTCCTAAATGTGAAACAACTTCCAACGATCTCAAATAAACGGTTATGCACTTAAAATGCCCATTTAAAATCTTTGATTTCCTTAAAACCTATGCGGAAATGAGTAAATATTTTCGAATTTTATATTTTCTAGTGTATAACTGCATTTTGTTTGTTACATTAATACATATCTAGAGTAATCGTTGAATCTATTTTCGGTAATACCGGCAGAAATGTTCTAAATATCCAATAAATAGGCCATGAATTCTTAAAAGTGCCTCCAAAGATATACTTAGCACTCTTTAATATACGCATTTAAACAACTTAACGCGTTCAATTTTGAGCATCTGTAATAAGTATTCGTATCTTTATAGGACACAATAATAATTCTTAAGACTCTTTGTGGTATTTTTTGACTACATAGATAGGATAAGTAACGGGTGAACCATTTATTCTCATATTGCGGAGTTTATTTTAATATGCATTTTTTGAACCGTTTAGCGACTGGTATCTCTATATTTATTGCAAGATAATAAATTCTCTATTAAATAATCGCGTAATGGTTGTCCAATATTTTCATGTCGTTTTGGCAAAAACATCTTTGTGTCGTCCGAAGTATTATTATCGTAAACGGATTACGCAGGTTGTTGAAAATAGACTCTGATCCTTAAAAAAAAAAACTAAAAAGAGAAAAATTGTCTACACTTACCGATATGCAATAGATAACGCAAACATATATTGCATATGTGTTATTGTTAAATACAGTTGATTGCATTCGTCCTTGGCATTTTCAAACCAGAATCGTAATCATTTGTTAATAGCCAAGAGAAGAAGTAATCAACACCATTTACAGACAATAATTGATATCAATATCATAATAAACTTCACTGACTAATCATTAGTTAATTTTTGCATTCATATTTTTTTGAATGACCTTTACAAAAAAAAATTGTTCTGATAGGTCTAAGAATTAGTTCCTTCACCTTAACAAGGAATGTTCTCCTTTTTGTGTCAACATGTTTCTTGTTTACGTACTGAAAAAGTCAAGTTATGCCAAAGGGCTGCAAGGTACTTGCGTCTCTCTGGAGTACGAAATAATTAGGAAAAAGGCTGGAAAAAAATCCTTACGAAAATCGTGTTTTTTTCAAAGTGGGCCTCTCTAAAAATAGTAAAGGGCCCATGAGTGGATAATTCAGAGAGTGCCACAAGCATGTCACAATTCACTTTTTTGTTTTGTGTGTTGAAAATGAAGTTACAGTGAAACAATTTACTTTTCATCGGATCCTTGTGTCGATCAATGAAGCCGTTTTTAAGTATATTATATCTCTCTTCTCTTCTTCCTATTAATACTGAATATTCAACCTTCAGTACGTGTTTCAAGGATTGTTTTGTGTGGGTTGTTCTTAATAAAGCCACACCGTGGCTCATTTCTTTGTTTATTTTTAAAGAAAAACGCGAAATTATTCATCGCTTTATTTCGTACTTTCCGTACAAAGTAGAGACCTAAATATAATCGAATGCGTGTATTGAAATTCAAATTACATAAGAGGCATTAACTGATAGATACATAAATAGGGACATTTTTTTTTAATAATTTTATGACATTTAGGTCTTTTTGATAATCGCTTGATTGTAAGTATGTGTGTGTGTGTCTTAATTTACGTAATTTTCTCTCTTTTTCTCACAACATAACATAAAATGCGACCAATTGCAACAGCGACACGTCCCAGCAGCCACAACGTCGAGAAGATTATTTTTAGTTTGACGGTATTTGGCAGAGACGCCGGCTACGATCGCGTTCGTCGTTTTCAGTCGTCCCGACGCCCGTGTCGCGACCTGTACTTATTTAATAACTATTTTAATACGATACGCAAATTCTGAACGGTTGATAATTAATTAATTCTTGACGCGTCCGTCGTTTTATAAGTGGTAGTGTGAGGGTGAACCGATCCCGATATATTTTATTATGAACGAGGGTTTTACCGATGTTCGCTTCCGCCCTTTCCTATTCCCGTCTGCGTCCGACTTATTACGACGACGATAACGATTATCATCGCCACAGTAGCCGATACAAGCCCACTTTGACCAGCTCGTCCACCTGGAGCAATCCGAGTGCTAGCGCGAACGGGGATCTATCATGGTCCCGTAGATCCGCGACCACCACCAATGTCCCCAAGCGATTGTCCAGTGCCAGCTCGATGGCATCTTCGGGCACCGCTTCTTCTTCGACGCCCCGGCGTCAAAGATACGCTCGTTCGTCTACGACAAGCGTCACCCAACTTTTGAGCGATTCGTGCTCGAGTCTTTTGCAAAGACTAACGACTAAAGTGCGAGGACCTTCCGAGACTAAGCCTTCGGTAACGAGGAACCCTCTGACCACCAGTTCAAGCGTTAGCCATGTAGGTTTAGGGACGTCCCCGTCTTGTTCTTCTGGAAGCAGCAGCAGCGGCGGTTTGAGAAACAAGTTCCTCGATGATAAGTACACGTCCGTGTTGGAGAGAGTTTATGGAAGGAGAGATATCGAGCGGACCATCGAACCGTCCGTTGGTAGATCGTTGGCGAAGAGTGCGACCAGTTCGAGTGTTTTATTGTCTGAGAAAGCGTATCCTTATGTGTCTTCAATGACGGTGAATAATCACTACGGTCGCGATAAAACTCCTTATCGCAGCGGGGAATCGAATAATAATAATAACAACAACAACAAAAGTACCATTTATAATAAGCACAACCACCATTACCACCACCATCACGTCGATTCCCACAACTACCCCGAACCTCCGTATTCGTACCTTGATAGGGATTCTGTATACCGTATCCGACACAGATCGAATCATTCCGAATTGAGACCCAGGAGGTCAACAAAACCTTTCCGTTCCGGGAAGAGCGAGGCTTCGGACAGGCGCGCCACCACCTGCCTCAAACTCCAACCTGTGGACATATCGTTGAGCGACACAGAGAACGTGGACACAACGAATATCATTACGACTACAGCCACCGCGAACAGTCTTCGTGTCAAGTCGAAAGATGAAGAAGACGACGACGTCACACCGACGCCGTCGAATCCTCCGGACGCTGCTATTTCCGAAAGGGAAGCGAAACGGAAGGAGATCCAGTCTCTGATCCTTAAATATTCGGCTCTAGACGAGGCGTATAATAAGCGGACGGACGCGAAGAAGAATGCGGCAGAGGGTGTCGTAGATGCGGACGTACCCGTTAGCGCCGCGACGGCAATCGCAAGAAAATACCACTCGCGACTAGCTGCGGTCGTAAGTAACATATAATGACTGCACTGCTGCTGATATTGTGATAAACAGATACAACCCCCTACTTCTGGACATACTTAAAAATATATATTTAGTCTTTCTAACAAGTGTGTGTAACGCTTTTTGTCTTTTTTGCCTCGCCTAATCCTAATACACGTGTTCACTAATCGGTATTTATTTTATGTCCTCTTGTTGTTTATATTTCTGTTAGTACCAATCAATTATACGTTCGGTAGTCCTTATTGTTCTTGTCGTTAGGAACAGTAATACTTTAACAAAAGAAAATTATGCTTTAAAAGTAGAGTTTAATTGGCTAATTCGATTGGGTGGTCTAAAAATAAAGAAGGGTAATGTGTACTAAACCACACACACTTCCTGTACTGAAGAATGTGGTTATCAAATGTTGCAGTGATGCATGGGATTAAGGAGTTATAAAAGGGCTACACTATCAATATTCAGGGTATATTTATATGTTATCTTATTCTGTATTTGTAAGTAGAGGGTCATTTAAATAACGGTACTTGACGAAATACTACCACCATTTTTTCTTTATTTTTGTTTTCCTGATGCACTGTTAGAAGCTGCTTTTAATAAGAAACATTGATTTTAAAATGCAATCGCCTATACTCAAAGGTGTTCTCAAATTCAAAGTATGACGCAAACGACGCTTGTGATGCCAGATTAACGTTTCTGAAATGCGGTTGCCAAATTGGCCCACGTGAAAGAATTGGGTCTGTTCACCGTTTTTAAGTATCTATCATGTCGAAAAAGAAAATCGAGCAAGAAAACAAAAACATATTTTTAGGCGCGCGTATTTTTGCGAAATGCCTGAAAACTAGCGCGTAGGATCGGAGTTTGCCTAGTTTCAGAAGTTTCAGCACTTTTTCGGCGTACGATTTGTACGGATTATCTTCTTCTACTACGTCGATGCGAATAACAGTGGCATTCTCTGTTGTTGTTTACATTTTGAAAGCGGTATTTTATGTAATTAACGCTGTCGCTAAGTATATACTGCATCATGTAAGTGAATACATCGTTGTTGATAATGTCTTCATAATTATTACCACTATTTTTATAATAAAGATGATAATTAATATAAAATACTCTCTGATTAAAGTTATCAATACATATTTATAAAAATAATGTTGACATGAGTGCTATATGTATAAGTAACAGTTTCCATACACGTACATGCTTTTCCTCGATGTATGTAATACATAATAACAAACTGTTGTCTAATAACTAATAAAATGTATGTAATCTAGTTTTGTGATTATGAACGTGTACTATATACATGCCTTTTTAATATCTTTTTATCACAAGCTAGTTAATGTGGGGTTTTCTTATCAAAAATAGCACACCAATAGCTAAATATTATAACCAGAAAATTAGTAGGCAATTGTTAAAAATATAACAAATTCAATCTAAAATGGTATCGTATAGATAGTATCGTGTTTATTTTGTATAAAAATTGCTATTTTTGCATTAATTTGCAGTTTGCATTGTTTATAAATGAATAATTGAAGAGTAATGCGTGATAAATATTTCCTTATCTAACTGGATTTCTAAACCAGACTATGCTTGGTTAAACATTACCTCTAGTATTAGCTTTCTGTACTACTAACAACAAAAATTGAGATAATGTAATGGTGTAAGTTTGCACATAACTGAATTCGTTTGTATTAAAAAAAAATTGGCATATATTAAACGTTTTGTTTTTTGTGAATTACATGCAAATGTTTGTGTTGTCGCTATTAACGAGTGCGTTGGGTTATTCTTTATTTAAAAGGGTGCCCAACCTGCTTAATTGAATGCGTTTATTAGTTAGATTTTTAATTATTTAATACAAAAGTGCACAGAAACAGTTAAAAGGCATAATTGAGGCTAGAAGTATCACAACTATCCCAAAACATGACAAGCATAGTAGGATTTCAATTTTTATTGAACATTTTATGATAATTAACTTTCTTTTTGCTATTGATTTAAATCCAAAAGAACAAATGCTTATAAAAATATCAAATTATTACAATAAATAATGCTAAAGTTTTATGATATGTTTTCATTTCCAATTTTTGGATTTAATACCAAATATTTTAGCAATTGTAAAACTGCTGTTGCAACCAAAAGTCAAAAGTCTTTTGTTTGCAGTAAGTCATATGTCATGTTAATCAATAGATAATGAGTTCTAGTTAAGATTCAATAACAATGAATGAATGACCTACTATTTTTGGTCAAGTTTTGCGGAGCACATCTTTGGACATGTTAAAATAGTTAGTAAATTTTTGGATTATTTCAATACAACCCTACAAAAATTACCCCACGACTATATATATATATATATATATATATTATAAACTGTCGAAGCGATGCAAGAAAGATACCTGAAAAGAATGTTAGAACCGAAACAAGAAAAGATATTTTTACCTACTNATATATATATATTATAAACTGTTCCTTGCCTCCCACATATGCCTTCATCTGTTACTATGTTCTGGTGCATTTTTTGTACCATTAAAGAGAATCATTGTTGATTTGGCAAATCCGTTTGCCCTTTTCCTCTGTTGCTTATTGGGCCACAACGCCGCCTTTGTTTTGGACCATTGTCGTACCTTTCGACGCCCACAACGTGGACTGTGATGATGTGACCACAACGCAATGATGATAATGTCGATGATGACGATGACATTGCCTTGCCCCACAACCGTTCTTCCCGCCACAACTTTGACTGTGGTCTTGATTGATGATGACGGGGTTGCGTTGATGATGATGATGATGATGATGATGCGATTGACGCTGATGACGATGCGCACAACAACACAGAGTTCTAGAGCTCCATCGGTGGAAGATGATGAGGAAGGCCACCTGATTTACAGAGCGGGAGATGTTCTGCAAGACCGATGTTCGTGAATACTTTTAGTACACATAGCAGTTTGGATAAGTCTAAACTCTTGTCTCTCTCTTCTCTCTCTCTCTCAAAAATGTCCCACAAACATGTCCCCATCCAATTAACGAACTTTTCTTTCAGCATAGTATCTAAATTCTTGTGATCAGTCAGTCACTCAGACACGAAACATTACCGAAACCTTGCATTCGTCTGTGCAATCATTTTTTCGTTTTTCGTAGTCTTTGGATCGTAATCATTAGATAAGTTACAGTAGTATGATTGATCTTACTTGCAAATAGACATAGGACGTTTAGGTCATCATCATAAAGTCGTCAGTAGATGCCTACTACAGCAAAATTGATGATTTTTTAGTTTATCCATTTTGGGAGACCGAAGAAGAAACAAAAAGCTACTGATTTTGCTCAGATCATATAAAAATATATTTTTATTGCTAATTAAAATGTTACATATATGTTATTCAATACATCTAACGTATCGGAAAATTGAGAAACTAAATTTCAAATTAAACTAACTGTTCGTTTCTATTGGAGCGAATTTCTGACAATTTTTTATAGATATTTGATTAATAATAGAACTTTCTGACTTATATTTCAAAATCCTGTGAATGAAGAGAAGTCAAGGTTTCGGTAGCATCACCATTTTTTTTGGACAGTTAATTTCAGAAGCAATACGCCCAAGTTACAGTTTCTATGAGTTCTTTTATGTGGCAAATAGAAGCTGCAACTTGGTAATCTACAAGTTTGGCAATCGGATTTATATTTTTTTACAATTATAATTGTAATATTTTTAAGATCATTTTTTTTTTAATTTTTGATCAGTATATTTTTTGCATGCACTCAGATAATTTAGGCTAAGATATTTTGCTTTACAACTTGCTCGTCGAAAAGTAATACAGACATGCGCAACAGATCATCTGATCTCATTATACTGATAGGATTGTACTTATCAAAATAACTACGAAAAATTGTTGGTTGGTATAGTTCTTAACCATAGAAAGAAATGTTAATTTTTAACCATACATATGGTTTTACTTGTGTTAATGCCAAACTTAAAGACAGTCATGGTTGAAGGCAACAACAAGAAATATCTTGCACAATACGAGGTGGTACAGAAATGCTTGGTCACCTGCCAAGAGTGACTCGTATTGGGTTCATTTCAAAAACCGTTAAAGTACCACCAATGCGAATGTTAGCTATATATACACATAAATTGACCTTGCAGGTGAAAAACTTCGAAAAGTGATGATAGATCAATAGGTAGTTAACGAATTGTTATTGTCTTATTTAATTTTTTTTTATTATTAAAAGGTAATACTTCCTTTAAGAATCATAATGGGTGTATCTAAAGTATTACATTTCACCTTTTATTAATTTTAAGTGTAAGTGAAAAATACAGAAAAAATCGATTAAAACAGTAGATATTTTTGAACAAATAGAAATAATTGCGTTGATAAAAATGAAAATTTGTGTTACTTTTCTTCGAGCAAAGTTACAAAGTTTTATTAGATTAACAGAAACTGTTGTTATTTTACAGATAAAATTCTTGGCACCCTCGGCGAAGGAACATTTGGCAAAGTTGTCAAAGTTAAAGATATAGACATGTGAGTGTGTTGAGTTTAATTTTTGAGCCATTGTATCGAATGTTGCCTTGATGATAACTCAGCCGATGATTGATTAGTTTCTAGGATAATTTTCTATGTTTATATTTATACGTTTGTCTATATTTTGCTGCTTCTTATGGTTCTGCATTAATAAACAATGAAATTATTAACTTTTACCATTAAATAATTATGCTTTAATTTTACGATTATTAATTTTTAATCCAATATACCACAGCCTAGTATTACATCTGTGAATAGCTATATATCTGGTATAATAACAATAACGAATTGTAATTATTAAATTCAGCAGCAATTTTAGGATGTAACATTTATTATTATAGGCATCATTTGATGGCTCCTATTTCCTGTATTACGTTTTCATTTTACAGTACCCCTATAACAGAAAAGATGTCCTCACGTTTCAGAGAGCATATCATGGCCCTGAAAATAATCAAGAATGTGGAGAAGTACAGAGAGGCTGCAAAACTAGAAATAAATGTGCTTGAAAAACTTGGCGATAAAGATCCTGAAAGTTTGCAGTAAGTAAACCTCCTTACTCTATATTTTCGAAAATATGTAATCTGATTTTTATTTTTTACCATTTTTTCTTCTAGTTTGTGCGTTAGAATGTTGGACTGGTTCGATTACCATGGTCATATGTGCATAGCTTTCGAAATGCTCGGCCTGAGTGTTTTCGATTTTTTGGTAAGTTTTTTTTTTTTCATTCATCTATTCAAGTTAATATGTCATTCAACAGTTTCTTACATTCGCACCTCATATCAAAACTATTTTTAAACCGAAAGTGGAACAATAAACACGACGTGAGTGTAGAATAACACCAAAGGAGAGCTTTGTCTGTGACATGTTCATAATTAAATCTCACCACATTGTACCTGTGTTTCTTATTAGTCAATGCAATTGCAAGTTCTAGTTCTAGTTTTGATATCATAAAAGCCATACTACGTACGTGTGTATGTTCTTACAATTGGATTAAGTTTTTTAAAGCAGCACTTTGCTGTCTTTATAAGGATTTTATCCTAATAGCATTGCTTGCGGATTAAACAAGGAATGAAAATAGAATCCGACTAAATTTTTACAAAAAAAATTAGTTCTGCTGATTAAAAAGTAAGGTCGATGAAATTCTTTATTGCTTCTTAAATAGCTCACAACAGGTGTTTTCAGCCAGCTTTAAAGCTTACATAATAATCGATTTATTTTTCTGCCAAACATGTTTGAATGTTTTGGGTTTGCGCTTCTAATTTTGCAAAAATAAACGAGTATCCAAAAGCTGAACAAATTAATTACGGAGTTCAAAGTGATTATCCTTCAAACAGTCAAAGGTTAAATAGTTACGTAATAATTTTTGAATAAATATATACACATGCCCTTGCCATTAAACTTTTTGCAAGTCAAAAATCGCCAGTTGGTGATAGTCCGAAATAAAATACTAACATAGAGTTCAGTGCAGTTTCTGGTTCTAAATTTAATTCAAAATCGACTGTGTCTTTATTTAGAACGAGGTCTCTTCTTTTAATTATTAATTATCGTAGTGACCTAATGCACTCAGTAACTCGGCCAGAAGGTTTGTTGTTAAAGATGTAAAGTGATTATAAATAAGAAAGTTTGATGTGTACTGAACGTTCAGCAGTTGAACATCTTCAACGCAATTGCATTCAAAATTTAAACTTTTCTTATTCTTTTTGTAATATTTAAGTATTTTACTAAGTACAGAATATTGACCTTCACGGGGGTCATGTTGTTAACCTTATCAAGATGTAGAGAATTAAGGTTAAAATTGTTCAATTTAATTATAAATTTGGATCATGACAATGCATAATAAATTAAGTTATACCAGCTGCGACGGTTTGTTGTACTATTAAGTCCGAGTAAACATTTACAAAACAACTAATTGGATAATCTCGTACTCTGCGAGTCCTTATGCAGTTCAAAGTTAATTAGTCAGGTCGGTCGTTTCACAATTTATTTGGAAAGAGCGTAAAAGGTTTTCAAATCAGCAAGAGACAAATTCCTATTTTTAGTGGTTTGGTAAACATTTACAGATGCTCTGCTGACTTATACAGCATATAAATAACTTGGAGGAGATTATCAAAAGCTGACGAAGAAAACGCGCGAGTCCTCTGTTTAATACGTATATATAAAATGATATTTGACACTGGCGTATTTTTTTTATAATTTCTAAATTTTTAAAAATAACATTTAGTAAGGATAAACTCGGACGTAAGACTAGTTCCACGAAGGGATTATATATATTAGAATTTCTATCACCGGATGCTTCATAGTGTTTTTTAAATAATAGTCTAATTTATTTGTTAATAAGTTAAACATAATGCAGGATGCTCAGTTTTATTATAATTAGGATGCCAAAACGGAAAAGTAATCCGAAGAATTCTAAACAATTATAGTCATCATTATTATTGGTAGTATTAGTACTGTTTACCATGAACTTGAGAAGACAACAAGAAAATATGAAATTGTCTTTTTTTTACAGAAAGAGAACAATTACTATCCATACCCATTGGACCAAGTGCGGCATATTGGTTATCAGTTGTGTTATGCAGTTAAATTTTTACACGATAACAAATTAACCCATACAGATCTCAAACCAGAGAATATCCTCTTTGTTGATTCCGATTATGACGTAGTTTATAGTACCAAAAAGGTAAATTTCGTGCAAAAGTAGTTCATTTCATACTTTAATTTGTGTCTTTTTTTTTCTGTTTNGTTAGTAAAGTTGCAAAGTTCTTGTAGTACTGTTTACCATGAACTTGAGAAGACAACAAGAAAATATGAAATTGTCTTTTTTTTACAGAAAGAGAACAATTACTATCCATACCCATTGGACCAAGTGCGGCATATTGGTTATCAGTTGTGTTATGCAGTTAAATTTTTACACGATAACAAATTAACCCATACAGATCTCAAACCAGAGAATATCCTCTTTGTTGATTCCGATTATGACGTAGTTTATAGTACCAAAAAGGTAAATTTCGTGCAAAAGTAGTTCATTTCATACTTTAATTTGTATCTTTTTTTTTCTGTTTCAGCGAAGAGACGTAAGGAGAGTGAAAAGAACTGATGTAAGATTAATTGATTTTGGTAGTGCGACTTTCGACCACGAGCATCATAGTACAATTGTCTCGACGCGACATTACAGGGCGCCGGAAGTCATTTTGGGTAAATACGTTTTTATTGACGTGAACATTCACATTTTGTACGTTTTGCTATTTTGATCTGACTCTTCTGCTCTTTTCAGAATTGGGTTGGTCGCAGCCTTGTGATGTGTGGTCGATTGGATGTATTCTCTTCGAACTCTATCTTGGCATTACGCTGTTCCAAACCCACGACAACAGGGAACACTTGGCGATGATGCAGAGGATATTAGGGGAATTACCGCTAAGGTGAGGGTAGACTCTTTGTTTAAATCTATTTCTGCTACTGTAACATTTTTTGTTATTCGTTGTTGCAGGATGGCAAGAAAAACAAAAACGAAATATTTCTATCGTGGAAAACTCGACTGGGACGATAAAAGTTCTGCTGGTCGATATGTCAGAGATAATTGTAAACCACTTTTGGTAAGTTACAATTCTTATTAATATATAAAATTGTACCAGAAATAATGTTTGACGTTGTTACAGAGGTATAAACAAAATGATGAAAGCGACCACGCACAGCTATTCCATTTGATCCAAAGGATGCTGGAGTATGAACCATCAGAACGGATAACGTTAAGGGAAGCCCTCATGCACCCTTTCTTCGACAAAATCCCTGCGCACCAACGTTTGGGTGAGCACCGCGGCTCCGGTGACATTCGACGTGACCTTTCACTGACTCGATGATCGGGTCACGGCAACGCGGTGACACCACGGCGTTGCCGGCGCCGTCGTCGTCGTCCTCCTTCTCCCACCACCCGTCCTCCTTCGCTTCGTTGTAGTCGTCGTCGTCGTCTGTCTATCCTCGTGTCACCGTCGTCGTCGTGATATAAAATAATTAAATAAACAAACAAATGGTGATAAACAACTCAGCTGTAATAATAGACAACGTTCAATTAATTAAATGAATACTGCTCCCTTTTACCCCGTATCTTCCAGACGACGACGATCGTTTATTAATTTTTTAAATTTAAAAAAAAAAAAATAGATGACCATAATGAAACGTTTTATTTTTGTATAAAATGTGCAGCAAACAAGCAGGAGGAACAGTTTTTAATAAAAATTGATTAATTAATAATATGGATAAGGACAATAAATTTTATTTATTCACGTTGTTATCGATGATTATGTATAAGACAAAAACATAACGCAATTGTAGGTAATTTTAACGTCGACAGATGTGGAACGGCGGGGGGCAGGAGCGGGCTGAACGCAAGCAGCCCCCGCCGGCGACTGTCATCGGGCGACACGCGAAGAGTGACACTTGTCGAAGAATTTGAGGATTATGCATAATGATGAATGGTGATTGGTGAAGATATGGAGAAGTTCATTTGTCGCTTTTGATTTTTCTCTTTTTTTTTTTACGCGAATGAATTGTAAGAAAATTAATAACGTGTGACCCGCGCACGTTGCCGTGTGTCGTTTATTAATTATTATTGTAGATGATGTGTATAAAAAAAAAATCAAAATGGGAGGAAGGCCAGTTAATATTTAACTGCCTACCTAAAATGGAAAATCTTTAGATTGGTTCGTGAACAGATGCTTCAATGTTATGTAATTAAGTTTATTAATGTATATAGTACATATAGTACATAAATATGAATAAATATGATTTTTACAATACCTACAGTTTGTTTTTATTCTTATTATTACCAAGATGCGATATTTTTTATATTACAATATTTAACTGGGCCACAGCAGTCAGTCTGTGCACTGCTTCAGAAATTTCCACCCATTTGCTGGCATAATACTTTGAATTTAAACAGATCGTTAAGTTACATTTTTATATCTCAATCGATGCTTTCTATTAAAAAATTACATGAAATACTATTTAATTTAACAAGAGGGTTGTAGGCAAGTTTGCTTCTTTTTAAAGTCAGACAAAGACAAACTTATTCGATTTTTTAACACAGAAAATTATTTTTAAAAAGCTAAAAGAAACTTGCATGAGTATGTATTAATAAAGAACTAAAGATAACTTATTCTACTAAAGCAACTAATATTTTAATTGTACTTTGATGTTAATCAATGTAATTAAGACTAAATTGCTAGACCTTTTCTAAAACCAAGTGAATAGTTTGCTTAATTAGCGTTAATAAATTTTAATATTTTAAGTTAGTAAAGTTGCAAAGTTCTTGTTAAGTACCCGAGCACTGTGGAAGCCTATACAGCTTTATATTGAAGGTAATGTATGAATGCAAAACAATTTGAAAAATTCCCTGTTGAGCACCTTAGGAACCTACATAAGTCTACCTGTTAAATGTGATTTTTTGTGTGATAGCGCTAGGGGGAGTAACTATCGTCTATTTAAACTTTTCGGGAAAGAACCTAAAATAGGATTTGCTTAATATTACATTATCTATTAATACTACAGTATTAATGCATACTGTGCCTACATACGTATATAGATTATCATAATAAACTATTAGAATATTCCCTCTTTTATTCATTTATCCCTATTTAACTGAAATATAATTACAGCTTAGTAATGATTCAGGAAATATTTTTGTAGATAAATCTGGAGGCATTTTCAAAATAACCAGACAATTATTATCAACTAAATGAAGTTAGTGCTGTAATAATTTGAGTAGTTTCACCTACTTTAAAGAACTCAACCCTTAAATGTTCTAACATTTACTATAGTTTTGCTGATCAGAAAAAAAGGACAAGGGGTATTCTAAGGGATTATAATAAAGTAATTATCAAAAAGTATTTAAAACAATTTTTTCTTGCAATAAAAGATTACCTATAATTCGTATAGATTTTATTTAAAAAAACCTAATTTATTTTTTAAAGCAATCAAAAGTTATTAAACTTCGCAACATTAATAAGATACGTTAAAAGAGAGCTCATAAATTACTTTTTAATTTTGATGACATTTGGATAAAGAATTAGGACACTGAATTCATGAAACATTTGAAGTTTTTCTTGTAACGGAACCAATCGCCAGTGCGCGTAATCCTTAATTAAATATTAAATGCGACCTTTCATTGCACAAACTACAGCCTACATTAGATTCGTGTAAACTATAATTCAGTCGATACCCCAGGTGTTCATATCAACCCTCTTTATATTAATATCATGATCTACATAACTTTAATAGAATTTTTGAGATGCTTTATAAGTAACAAAAATGAACTTATTACCGTTATTAGCGGAAAATGTCCGGATATGGCTTCGTTTTTCTTCTGTTATTAGTGATTTCTGTTAGTGGTGACAATTTTCCATCCCTTTTAGATGTTAATGCGACCCTCGGTAAGAAACCGTACTTATTTCGATATTACCGTTTGCTCAAGTTTGTGAAATCTTCAGCGATCATAATTGATCGAGAATATATGGATGAGAAATATGATGAAGTAAAAGATGCCATTGTAGAACATATAGCTACAGTACAAAGAGAAATATTAAAGCATGGTGGGGTTAATGTACAGTACTACTCTTGGACGACGATAAATATTAAAGGTAAAGGTTTTACCCAACAAACGCCCTTGTTAGAAGTACTTTTTCTTTTAGATATTACCGCAGTTTTAAGTATTGCATCGTGCGACGATACTTGGAAAATTTTCGAACTTGCTTACAGGGAAAATGCTCTTCACATGGCAATTACAGGTAGAGACTTCTAACAACAATATTTTGCAATAACTTGTTCTACACTACAACGCTTGTTATTATAGAATCAGATTGCCCTCGATTGCCCTCAGATAGGGCTGTCGTTGTTCCTCTGGTAGACAATGGTCGGGAAGTGCCTCAGATGATTTTAGATCTACGTGTTGTAAAATCTTACAAATGGCAGTCTATTACAATGATATACGACAGAAGTTTAGGTACTTTTTTTACCGTAATTAGAAATCGATTGCAAAATTTCCTGTTACGTTTTTGAAGGGCGAGATTTAGTAGAAAAGGTTGTAAAATCACTAACGCCACAATCAACATCAAAATTCCAAGATAACGGGGCATCAGTAAGCTTAGTAAGCCTGTTTTCGAACACTTCTCTGCTAAATATTAGACCTTATTTACAAAATGTATTGTCAACGATTCCCGTGAAAAGTTCTGGCATGAATTTTTTGGTTGTTATTAAACGAGATTACGTAGAAATAATGATGGAAATGGCGAGGAGATTGAAACTTACCCACCCAAGAAATCAATGGTTGTATGTAATCTCCGATCAACTTAGAAGCAATATCAGCTCGGTGAAGACCTTATTTTCAGAAGGTGATAATATTTCGTTCATATATAATACCACAAAATCTGGATCATCTTGCAAGGTCTGCATCTTTTCTTAATGAATTAATAATTGTTTCGATGCAATCAAGTCAATTGTAATTGTAACAGTTTAGGTAATTTTACATATTACACTTTTGTCTTCAATAGGAAGGACTATTGTGCCATGTCAAAGAAATGATTAACGGGTTTGTAAAATCGTTAGATCTGGCTGTAATGGACGAAGCAGAATTGTTCAGTCAAGTATCTGACGAAGAATGGGAAGCTATAAGACAAACCAAAGCAGATAGAAGTGACTTCCTATTGCGTGGTTTGGAGGTAGTACCAGAACGTACTTAAAAATATTTAAACATTCTTCGAAAATTCGCTTCGACTTTTGACGAAGTTTCATTGCAATCTTTTCTAGAGTCATTTGCGTCACTATGGTGAATGTGGGAATTGTACAGCGTGGAAAATAGAAGCTGGAGAGACTTGGGGGGTTGAATACACCGGGTCCTACGCCTTAGATTACAAATTAATCGATGTAGGTGTATGGTCACCCAGCAAAGGTGCCATTTTGACTGATGTTCTTTTTCCGCACGTTGAACATGGTTTTCGGCGAAAAAATTTACCGGTAGTTTCATTTCATGTAAGTTACAGACTTGTAATAATATTTTATATTGATGAACCATTTCTTTTTAGAATCCACCTTGGCAAATCCTTACGCTGAATGATACAGGAGCGGTTTTAGCTTACGAAGGTTTAGTTTTCGACATTTTAGAGGAAATAGCGAACAATTTAAATTTCACCTTCACCGTTCAAGTGCCTTCAGAGTTAGTATTAAAGAATCTTTCGGCCATCTCCAGAAATTCCAGCGATGGTCACAACCACAGGAGGGAATTATCCAATGTTTTGACCAACGTCTTGCCACGACCAATAGTGAAACTGATCAAAAGCAAGTCTGTTATCATGGCCGCATGCGGATTCACCATTAAACAAGAACATAAAAGAGTTGTTAACTTTACAATTCCCATAAACATCCAAAGCTACACGTTTCTGGTAGCAAGACCAAAGGAACTAAGCAGAGCGTTGCTCTTTATGTCACCATTTACGGAAAATGTGAGTATTGTTACCCCCCTTATAGTCTTGATTTGGCGCATTGACTTTTTGGGAAATTATTATTTTTAAATAATTTTTTTTTCGTTAAATATTTTAAAGACCTGGTTGTGTTTGGGGTTGGCCATTATAAGTATGGGTCCAGTGTTGTTTGCTGTAAATAGACTAAGTCCTGTGTATGAGTATAAGGGAATAGAAATGAGAGGAGGGTTGTACTCCATACAAAACTGCGTCTGGTATATGTACGGTGCACTGTTGCAACAAGGTAACACAAAGTTTCATTTAAATAAATGTATATTATTATTCTGAAAAGTTACCTATTTCATAAAAAAATATTTACAATAATACAATACTTTTTGTACAAGGATTAGTCGAAGATTGCTCACAACAATTCTGATGAATTAATAGAAAGATTAGCGTAGCTAGTTATGTAAATTAATCAGATACAAGATACTGTCTCATTTTATTATAATTCAATGAGGTTACACGGTTGTTTTTTACGTGTAGAGGCACACGTTTCTATATTGTTTTTGTTTTACTATTACGTTAATACATTTTCCATTTTTATCCATATTTATGAACAACGTGGAATAGGAAAATCACATTCGACAACAAAATTTCCAATTTTTTAACCATTATTGTGATTAATAAATTTTATATTTCTATAACTGAAAATAACGTAATTCCAATGAACATAGTGAAAACATATTTGGTGGCAAAATTGTTTACAATTTGTATGGATTATATAAAAAGAAATAATCTTAAACTTCATTAAAACTCTTTACTCTACTTTGATTTGTACTTTTATAGTAAGATCCTGGGCAGAGATTTAGAGCTTTGTGCTTTAAAATCCACTACCAATTCGTGCTATAGTGATTTGTAACATGTTCTCCAAAAAAGTATTTCAAGCCGTTTCAATAAAAACTTAATTAAAAAGTTAAGTAGTAGAAACGCAATAAAACAATTAAAATGAACGAAGATATTTACTTAACTGTCTTCATTAATTGTTATATTTGATTTTGATATCTCTATCAAAAAAGTTTTAATAACTTTAAGCCTTTCTAATGTAGTTGAAGTAATTGAAGTTTGGAGTGAATTTAATTATTTTTTGATGTAATTGNTGAAAATAACGTAATTCCAATGAACATAGTGAAAACATATTTGGTGGCAAAATTGTTTACAATTTGTATGGATTATATAAAAAGAAATAATCTTAAACTTCATTAAAACTCTATACTCGACTTTTAATTGGACTTATTGTAGTAAGATCCTGGGCAGGGTTTTAGAGTTTTGTGCTTTAAAATCCACTTCCAATTCGTACAATAATGATTTGTAACATGTTCTCCAAAAGAGGACTTCAAGCCGTTTCAATAAAAACTTAAATTACTACTAAAGTCGATAATAACAATGGGTAATTAAAAAGCTAAGTAGTAGAAACGCGATAAAACAATTAAACAATTGAAATGAACGAAGATGTTTACTTAACTGTCTTCATTAATTGTTATATTTGATTTTGATATCTTCATCAAAAGAATTTTAATAACTTTAAGCCTTCCTAATGTAGTTGAAGCCATTTAATTATTTTTTGATGTAATGGGTAATTCGAAATTCTTTTGTATCAAAATATAATTTGGCTTCGATAAGGACCAAACCTCTTCAACTAAGGCATGAGGATTAGGTGTTTAAAGCCCTTTTGATGAATTATTATAGATTATGCATTATTCTTTCGGTAAAATTTATCTAGGCGGCATGCATCTTCCATTTGCCGATAGTGCTAGAATTGTGGTAGGCACTTGGTGGATTGTGGTGCTCATTGTGGCCACAACGTATTGCGGAAGTCTTGTAGCTTTTCTCACTTTCCCCAAAATGGACATCCCTATGAACAGCATTGACGATGTAATAGCCCGAAAAGATACAATCACGTGGAGCGTTGTAAGAGACAGTTACATGGATGAACAATTGAAAGTATTTTAGAAATAAAGTTCACAACCACCCGGATGAGTGTCATTTCTTTACTTTCAGGCGTCGTACGAAAACAATTACAAAATACTGAGCAGAGGGATGAAATACTCGAGATATGACCATAACATGGTAGTTGACGTCGCCAAGGGAAAGCATGTTCATTTTGATTGGCAAACACGCTTACATTTCCATATGCAAAATTATTTCGAAATAACTGGACGGTGTGATTTAACACTTGGTACTTTTCCCTTTAATAGACGATAATTTTTTTTAATTAGCTAAATACGAGCCAACAAAATTATACTCAATTCTTTGCACAAATATTGCTATCTGTTCTTATAGAAACAATTTCAGGGACTGAGGTATATTTTGAGGAACAAATTGGGATAGCAGTTCCGCCTGGAACTCCATATTTGAGTATGCTCAATTTTCAGTTAAGTAAATCGTTAATCAAAACAGTTAAAAATACATTATGATAAACGTCTAATCCACTTTCGAATTTAAAATAACTCATTTCTTCTTTAGAATAAAACGATTACATCAAATGGGTCTGATTGAAAAGTGGTTTAAAAGTTATCTTCCCAAAAAAAATCGATGTTTTAAGACAAGGCGGTTCACGGAAGTTACAAACCATACGGTCAGTTTGGATGATATGCAAGGAAGTTTCTTTGTTCTTTTACTAGGTAAGAAAATTGTGTTTCAGTTTACGGAAATTAAATCCAATTTTTAAATGATATTCTCTAATATCTTTTTTATAATGATTACTCGAATTTTGTATCTTCAAATGTAGTTTGTGTTTTAAATTATGAAAGGTTTCACCCTTGCTTGCTTCTGGCTCTTCGGGGAAAAACTGTGGCATAGAAGAAAACGCACTACCCAATTATCAACTACAACCCCCCAATATCTCTCATAGAAAACATTAGGTACTACTTGAATTGCAATGTATTTGTAGTATCCAAATAAAAATAAATAAATAATCTACTAATATCATGTTTTCTTTTCTTCTCCTTTTCCGTTCACAATATACATATAGATGAGTACATTATTATAATTAATTAATTGTAAACAATATTATTAAATATAGATACATATCTCTTTATATAAAGCAAATAAAATCAGCAATGATGTAACGAAGCGAAATGATTTTTATCCTTAAATGTAGGACCCCATGCACCATGGTCATTTCCCTTCTTCGATGCATTCTCCTTATCATATTTTATTTGATTATCGCTACCCCTGAAAATTAAATTCAATAATATTTACGAAAATAATGCAATTGTAGAAACGCCCTGTAGATTATTGTCCTTTGTTAAAATTCACTTACTTATTGGTTGTTTTCCAAGGAGCGGCCTGTTCCTTGGTTTCAATTTGACCTTTAGCAGTTCCTTGAGCCATTTTGTTCTGGAGTATAAACTTTTTAAGGGACGTGATGTATCTGGGTGAGAACTTTTAGTTCCAAACGGTTTCCCGAATTCCCTCTTCTGCTTCCTTTTCTTACGTAGAGATTATCCCACCTGATTAAAATTATTTAAATTAAAATGGAATAGACTTATCATAAACAGCTGTCTGTCTTTCTGGGGTTCAAATTTGTTTAATTTATTTTTGCGTAAATTGGGTAAAGTTTAGCGCAAAGTTGAATCCATATTTATGATATTAAAAATATGCGAAATAATATAATACGTATTAGATACGTTATCCTTGAAGAAATTCCATTGAAAATGCCGTTAGCAAAATTCTTTGCCTGACGATTACTTGGACTACTTTGACTTGACGGATTTTATCTTTAATTGATGATGTTAAAAAATAATATACCTGGGTACGGTAGTGAATTCCAATGATCTCCTGTATGCTGCAGCTCTCGTGTTCATTGACACATATGTGTAATATTTTTTGTGAAAATTCGAACTTCTTCTTACCGCCTTTCTCACTTGACTCGTAACGCAAAAGAATCGCAACTGGTCGGACAAGACCAGCTCGTTATTATTATATATAAGTTTATTTAAATGACGTCAGACTTTACAATGTTGGATGGTAGGAAAAATGGAAAAACAAGAAATCATCTGTATTTATTAACATTAACCGTGTGGTCTTTATACATAATAAAAAAATTTGCATTGACACCAGACCAGGAAACAAGTACTTATTAACAGTAATAAATATTAATGAAGATGCAAGTTAGTGGCATTCCTTAGCTTAAGCAAAAGTTAAAAGACTTTAATGCCAAACTCGTCAAAAAAATACAGTGTGCAAAGTTAAAACTGCACCTGCTTTTCTCGTAACAAAATTTTAAATATTTTCATTTAAGAATAATGAGGTAACTGACATGAAGAAGATTGAAAACTTTCTAATTATACAAAGATAATACAAAAGTAGGTAATCTGCGAAATCCCCCGATTCAATAGACTATTTTACTTTTTTATTTGTTAACTTACAATACAGAAATAACTTTATCTAGAATCATTTGTGTTAAATATGCATTACTGCACAAATAAATAGTTGTTTTTTTGTAAATCCGGATGATGAAAGAAAATGAAAGATTTCATCAGCTAAAAACTCATTTAAATAATAATTTCAATTAATATTCATACAATCCGGTTTTACAAATGTTTCTAACGTGTATTTTACCATAAGAAAAAGAGTTTCACACTTCAGGAGTTAGATACACAGTCACACGTTTGTAATAATATTGTTTAGCGAAAAGGAAAATGAAAACAACTTTCTTAGGCCATCAAAAATAACTAAAATAAATAGGATGCATAATTTAATCAAAATAGCCGTGATTTTTTCAAAATTTCGAAGGGTAACTATAAACAGTAATAATACAATAGTTAGTCAAAATCCACGTCACGTTAAAAACTCAAAATTATTCATGTGGTGAGCGAAAAAGAAGAAAAATGTTAATGAACTGTTCAAAAATTCTCATTAAAAATTCAAAGCTTGCACTATTACTACGGAAAATTGTTGGATTGAAAAATTGTCGGAATCTTTGTGCTGGCGCGGATTTGTGTTCAGACGAAAGGGTGAGAATTTTATTCTCTCAAAAACGGCATTCCTTTAATTAATTCAACCCTCTTACAGAAAGGGCTTGTATTGGGAGTGTACATAGGCGATGGAGGAGAACCCTGTTTGACGCCCACCGCTAAAAAATTTAACGATTGCGTCAATGGCAAATTGCTTGAAGTTTATAAAAGGTGAAACAGTAGATAACAACTAGCATTTTTACTATCATTACATTTTATATCGGGTAGGTGTTGTGCAAGACCACTTCAAGTAGGGGACGGCTGTGTGTTTAACAATTTAGGCCAAGAGTTCTATGCGGTGGCATTGGTAGGACTGGGGAGTCAAAACCTTTGCTACAACGAGCTCGAAGTTATTGACGAAGGCACCGAAGCCGTTAGACAGGCGGCAGCGGTAGGATCTCAATCGCTTATTAAAAGGAATTGCACCAGGGTCCTGGTGGAAGGACTTGGACATCCTGAACAGGCGGCCGAAGGAAGTGCTCTGGCACTATGGCGGTATCAAGAGAACAAGCAACGCAAAGATTGGTGGACCATTCCGTCGTTAGAACTGTACGAAGATCCCGACACTCAGAGCTTTCAAAGAGGATTGTTTAAAGCCGAATGTCAGAATTTGGCGAGGAGATTGTCGGACACGCCCGCAAACCAAATGACACCCTTACATTTTGCCCAGGAAGCAGTCAACGAACTTTGCCCTTGCGGAATAAAGGTAAAACATTTTTCATCCACCGGAACGAGTTCCTTTCGCATAAACTGCACACCATAGTCTTCCATTCGGAGATCTATGATGGATATTAGTTTCAAAATCAAAATTGTGTTGATAGGTTGAAGTTCACGATAAAGATTGGATAGAAGCGCGAAAGATGAACGCATTTCTGACGGTTGCCAGGGGTTCGTGTGAACCCCCCATATTCCTAGAAATGAATTACTGTGGAGAACCGAGAGGGGTGAAACCGATCATGATTGTGGCGAAGGGAGTAACGTACGACAGCGGTGGATTATGTCTGAAGCCGAAACATAAAATGTCTAAATACAAAGGTGACGTGTCAGGAGCAGCCGCTGTAGTTGGCGCTATGAAAGCTGCAGCAGCCCTAAGTTTACCCCTAAACATTACCGGTCTCATTCCCCTGTGTGAAAACATGCCCAGCGGGATGGCCATGAAGTCTGGAGATATAGTGTGCGCATTAAACAGCAAATCCATCGAGATAGAAGATTGTGATAACGAAGGTAGACTTCTGCTGGTTGACGCATTCGTTTGGGGACAAAATTTTTACAAGCCGCGTCTTATAATCGACGTGGCCACTCTTACCTTTGGGGTCAAGAAGGGGCTCGGATCTGGAGCTACTGGAGTTTTCGTCAATTCAGAAACTTTGTGGAGCCAGGTAAACAAAAAATAAACATTTGCTTCTAATTATGTTCACCTCTGAGCGAATTTTTGATTCAGGTAAGAAAAGCGTCGGTGATATCTGGAGATAGAGTTTGGCGTCTGCCGCTGTGGAAAGCGTTCACGGACAAGGTCACTAACTACAGGTCACACGACGTTAACAACAAAGGCTACGGCCGGGGTTCGGCATGTTTGGGTGCGGCGTTCCTTCAGGAGTTCATCCAATGCGTGGATTGGATACATTTTGATACGACCGGAACGGGGCTGGTTTCTCTTAATAAAGTTGTACCCTATTTAACAAAGGGTAGGATGACCGGCAGACCGACACGTACATTGATCCAACTCCTCTATCAGCTCGCCTGTCCTGCGATAGCAAATCGCGAAGTCTCTTGTTAAAAGACGTACCTGCCTACAAGAAGAATTGTGATCGTTATGTGTCTACTAGTTCATGACTCTTGAAGGGTGTGTTGTAAATTTATTTGGGGTGAGAGCGCGATTCTGGTTCATTTTCGGTTTTGTTTTTTGTGCACTGTGCCGACTTTTTTAAAATTCGAATGTATTTATATCAGAGATGCAAGTTCAAACTACCTTCATGAATTCAAGGGGATTCCTTCGACTCTATTTTGGACAGGCTGGTCACCTGTCAACTCATTCCCTTATCCAAAGGGCGTGAGACTTAGTGATTATTCTTATTTCAATAAGTAAAATGGTTGCATCAGTTTATCTCTTGATACTACAACGCATTTCATCGCGCAAAACTTTTGTATTTTTCAAAAACCTCATACGTTAATTCATTACCTAAGCAAATTTTATCAAGTGTCTAAGTATTATTTACATTTATACCTTTATAATATATTGATAGTACTATTTATTATATGGACTATTTAAGATTTTTAATAAATTTATGACAAATGTATCAATCAGTATTTACTTCAAACACGTTTTTTTGAGACAGTACCTTTTTTGTTAGAAAATGTCCCTTTTATAATGTCCCTCATAAGAATAATTCTATAAATGTACCAACTTGCAATTGGTAGATATTATTAATGGTTAGGTTTCGAGTAGACAAGATTTGATGGTCGTCTAAAATTATCCATTGGTACAAAATTATCACTTTTGCCATGACTTAAAGGGTGTTGCTAGGCACTTTTTTTCAAATATAAAATCGTAACTATAAACAGTAATCATTTCTTCGTCAAAATCTGTGTCGCGCCGAAATATTCAAAATTCTTTTTGTGATGTGTATGAAAGATGAATAATGTTTTCCGATTGTTCAAAAGTCCTTTTCAAACTTTCAAATTTAATGTTCAACTATGGAAATATAAAAATCGCTTGAAAATTGTACGGAATTTTTGTTCCGGTGGTGATGGGGGGTGCGAACCTGAAAGGGTAAAAAAAAACTTGTGTAGGCAGGCACATTTAGTAAATTTTATTTGCTTTTAGAAAGGTATAATATTGGGTGTATACGAAGGTGATAATGGTGAACCAATTCTGTCAAGTGCTGCGAAAAAGTACAACGACTGCACTGACGGGAAATTTTTTGAACTTATCAAATCGTAAGTAACAATTAATCTTGGGTAGTTCTACAGTTGAAATCGTTTTAAATCGGCATGAGTATGAGTAAACAATGCGTGCTAAAAAAGATTTTATTTCGAGATCCGGAACAACATTGAAGGTAGGAGAAGCCCTTCTTTTCACCAACCTCGATACCGAATTTTGCGCGGTTGCGGCAGTGGGTTTAGGTCATCCAAATTTGTGCTACAACGAACTGGAATGCATCGACGAAGGAACAGAGGCCTCTCGGAGAGCTGCAGGTGCCGGTATTCAAAGATTGAAAATGAGCAGACTTCATCGAGTTCTTATCGAGGGTCTTGGGCATCCCGAACAAGCTGCCGAAGGAGCAGCGTTAGCCCTGTGGCGCTACCAGGACAACAAACTGCACAAAAGCATGATACCATCGATTGAATTGCACGATGACCCAGACACCGAGAGTTTCCAGCGCGGTCTCTTCAAGGCAGAATGCCAAAATTTAGCGAGAAGACTTTCCGACACCCCAGGCAACCAAATGACCCCGCTGCATTTTGCCCAAGAAACTGTCAATGAACTTTGCCCTTGCGGAATAAAGGTATCGTAAAAACTTTTCAAACTCTCCACATCAATTTATTACACTATATTATGTAGGTGGAAGTTCACGATAAAGATTGGATCGAATCGAAGAAGATGAACGCTTTTTTGACAGTTGCTCGGGGTTCTTGCGAACCGCCGATCTTTCTGGAACTGCACTATTGTGGGGAGCCGGCAGACGTGAAACCAATCATGCTCGCAGCAAAGGGCATCACGTTCGACAGCGGGGGCTTGAGTCTGAAAAGAACTCGAATCATGTCCGATAACAGGGGCGATATGGCAGGGGCCGCAATTATAGTGGCCGTAATGAAGGCCGTTGCGGCCCTCAGTATTCCCCTTAATATCACCGGTCTGATCCCCTTGTGCGAGAACATGCCCAGCGGTATGGCAATGAAACCTGGTGACGTGGTGTGTGGTTTGAATGGGAAGACGATCATGATCGAAGATGCCGATCACGAAGGTCGAATGCTTTTGGCCGATACGTTTGTTTACGGTCAGGGTACGTTCAAGCCCCGAATGGTAATCGATTTTGCCACCCTGATGCCCGGAACTGAAGGTGCTATAGGATCGTCGGCAAGTTCTGTCTTTACTAACTCGGAAAACTTGTGGGCACAGGTATAAGCTACAATATTTTGAATTGAATTTTTAAGTATTTAAATAGATAACAATTTCGAAAGTTTGCTGAACTATTAAGGTTATAGGGATATTATAATTGTTGTCTCATAAGCTTGAACTATTTATTTCATTCAGGAATTAGCATTAAAAAGCTAACGTTAACTTTAGGTAAGAAAAGCGTCTGTGATAACTGGAGACAGGGTGTGGCGTTTTCCCATTTGGGAATATTTTGGCAAAAAGTTAAGAAAATTTCCTTCACACGACGTGGATAACAGGGGCGAAGGTGCGGTGAACGCCTGTAATGCGACCGCGTTCCTTCGGGAGTTCCTTCAGTGCGTTGACTGGATGCACGTTGACATCACCAATAGTGGAATGGTAATGAAGAACAAAAACATATCGTATTTGACGAAACGTAGAATGACGGGCAGACCGACGCGCACTATAATCCAACTTCTTTATCAACTGGCTAATCCAAGTGAACAAAAACCAAAGTGCTGACAAGTGTTCGTAAAAATGTTTATTGTCTATCGTCTTTTCTCTCTTTAGTTTAGCGTACATGTGTTAATGTCGTAAGTTAAAACAATCCATTCGGAAGTTACGCTCTCGCCATTTATTTCCTTCGATATCATCATCATTCAGCGCAGTTTGCTCCGAACTATTTTCGAAGTTGGGGCAACGCGTACTGACTTAATTTAAAATTTTGAACGTATTGTATATATCAGAGATGCAAGTTCAAGTGCTGTCATGAATTCAAGGGGATTCCTTCGACTTTATTTTGGACAGGCTGGTCACCTGTCAACCCACTCCCCTGAGGGGTGTGGGAGTTAGTGATTATTCTTATTTCAACAAGTAAAATAGCTACCTCAATATCTCTATATACGATACATTTCATTGTCGCGAATCTGCCAAATTTTGTTTGAATACTTTCCTTTTTTTTTAGTTAAATTGCAATTTTGGAAGTACGTATTTACTTTTTGTATTTGCATTTACGACTCGTATAAGTATTTTTTCTATATACATAACATAATTAGTTTTACACTTTATGTACTGGTTTTGCAATAATATTCGAGGTTTCTAATAAAATTATCCATCAATGCTTGCATTATATTTCGTCAAATTGTGCGTCGTTTTGAAATTCGCGGCGTTTGCGAAACCAAAATGGCAACCAAACGTACAAGGTCGCAGTTGTCAAACTTTTGAGGTTAGATTACTAGTTTCTGCTGCGTTTGATTGAATTTATTTAATAAAATTAAATACAGACGCGATTTATTCCGAAAAAAAGTGTGTGAATTATGGCTGCTACTTCCCATGGACTTCCTGTATCACAAATATTGAAATCCAAAACAGAGGGAGATGATGAACCGAAAAAGAAATCTAGAGAAGATTGGAGGAAGGCGAAGGAGTTAGAAGAAGCCCGAAAAGCTGGTACTGCGCCAGCTGCTGTAGATGAGGAAGGAAAAGATATAAACCCCCACATACCTCAGTATATTGCAACTGCTCCTTGGTATTATGGGGCCCAAGGGCCCACTCTAAAACATCAGCGTCCCCAAGAGGACAAACAAAAGTCATTTTCGGATTTAGACGAATGGTATAAGCGTGGAGTTGATGCAGTAAGTGCTCTTCTTTTTAATGTACTGATTTATTTGAGATCTAATTTCTTATCTTGCAGAGTAATGTAGTAATTAAGTACCGCAAGGGAGCTTGTGAAAATTGTGGTGCAATGACTCATAAAAAGAAAGATTGCATGGACAGACCTCGTAAGGTAGGCGCTAAATATTCTGGCGTTAACATAGCTCCTGATGAATATATACAAAAAAACTTATCATTGAGTTATGATGGAAAAAGGGACAGATGGAGTGGTTATGATCCATCAGAGCATAGGGCTATCATTGAAGAATTCCAGAAGGTTGAAGAAGCCAAAAGGCAACTACGTGCTGATAAACTTGCAACTGATGATGATAAAGAGGAAGTTGATGAAGAAGAAGATGAGGATAAATATGTTGATGAGGTTGATATGCCAGGAACAAAAGTTGACAGCAAACAGAGAATTACAGTCAGGAATTTAAGGATAAGAGAGGACACAGCTAAATATTTACGTAACTTGGATCCTAATTCAGCCTATTATGATCCCAAAACAAGGTCTATGAGGGAAAATCCTAAGCCAAACAAGGATGATGGGTAAAATCATAATCATTAGTAATGTAAAGTTATTAAATTACTTAATTTCTACAGATATCAAGGAGAAAACTTTGTAAGATTTACTGGAGACACAACTAAGCATGCCAAAGCTCAGATATTTGCTTGGGAAGCTCATGAAAAAGGAGTGGACATACATCTTCTTGCAGAACCAACTAAATTGGAACTACTTCAAAAAGAGTATGAAGAAAAGAAACAGGAATTCAAGTCAAAAGTACAGGAGAGTGTACTTGAAAGGTATGGGGGTGAGGAACACCTAAAGGCACCTCCAAAAACTCTATTGCTGGCACAAACAGAAGATTATGTGGAATACTCAAGGTCTGGAAAAATTGTTAAGGGAGCAGAGAAACCAGTTGTGAGATCAAAATATGAAGAGGATGTTTATATAAATAATCATACCAGTGTATGGGGATCATTCTGGAAAGATGGCAAATGGGGTTACAAATGCTGTCATTCATTCATTAAAAATTCTTATTGTCTTGGAGAAGCTGGAAAGTTACAAAATGAAACATCAGTTCCACATACAAACCATTTTAAGAATGAGTCAAACAGTGGAAAAGAATCATCTTCCCCTGATGATAGTTCTAGTTCTGATGAGGAAATTAAAAAGAAGTCAAAGAAAAAGAAAAAGGACAAAAAGAAAAAGAAGTCAAAGGTGGAGAAGAAAGGGGACAAATTAAAAGAAGCCCTGGATGCTGAAGAAAAGCACCAAGAGGAAGCCAAAAAGTACCTGGAAATAGACGAAAGAAAGAGACCTTATAATAGCATGTATGAAGTTAAAAAACCATCCGAAGAAGAAATGGAAGCTTATTATATGAAGAGGAGGCGTGAAGAAGATCCAATGAATCAATTTTTGTAAGTTAAACGCAAATATTATTTTATTTTGGTATAATTAATCTTAAAAATAAAAAGTCATTCATAATTATTCTTTTTTTATTCCAGTTTGAGGTGTCTTCTTATCTGATAAATCTTTCGTTATTTTAAGTAAAACTCCCTCTTTTATCATTTTAGCAGCTAAGTTGGCGGTGTTCCTTGCATCGTGTAGACCACAGTGTTCCCGTCCTTCAAAACACAACCCCAACTCAGATAATGCCCCTTTGAGACCCTTTGGTTTCCTTTGGTAATGTTCCTACAAAACAAGATGATAAAAGATAAAAAGAACGTTTTTTTTCATTTAAGTCAAAACCCTGACATGAGCAATGGTCTTTTTCTACTAAAATCCTGGAATCTTTTCTTTTTCAATTTCATACAAACCTTATATAAAGCCCTTAAGTCGATCCATCTATTAAAGATTTCAGGTTTAAATATTCTTTTCCTTTGACACTCTTTTTGTAGACAAACATTTAAATCCCAATCAGACCAAGTAACAAACGTTGCATTTTTTCTTTTTGAGTCTTTTTCTTCTGTGAAAACAATACCATGAAGACTTTTCATATCATTAATCCATTTTCCAAGTACCATTAAACATGTCCCAAGTGGTACACCATTATCCACTTTCTCCTGAGTTATACCTTAGAAATTATAATTGGTTTTTACTTGACAATTTTACGGACTAATCTTTTCAATTTCCTTTTATTCTTAATTTAATATTGCATACCTGTAAATTCTTGACAGAATATACTTAAATGGGGTCTCTCAATTGGCATTACATACTGTTGAAATTCAGATATAATTTCATTTTTTGAAATGGAATATAATACAACAGAGAATTCAATAATTTCTGGAGCAGCTCTGTTCTTATCATTCGGTTCCCAACAAGTTGATTCAAAATCCAAAACGAATAAGTAATTAAACAACTGATTTCTAATTTTTTCAAAAGTGTTAGTTGGGTCATCCAACTTGATAGTTTCAACCAAATTTAAAACTCTATAAAAGAAATAGAATACATGTAATACAATTAATTAATAAAATAAGTGCTATAATACTTTGCCAGTTGTAAAGTCGACAATTCTAATGTACAATTCGACATAATTATATATTTTTTTTAAAGGATTTTAACTTATATATTACTCTTGATTTATAATGACCTTTTCAAATACAAAAATGACTCAGCAGTCAACAGAGTACATATAAGTAATTTCAGGGTAATAATTATATTTACAGTACTAAATAAAGTAATTAATTAAAATTCTTCATTTCAAATAGATAAAATATTAATTTAAAAAAAAGCCCAAGGGAAAGTTGAGACTTTAGCCATTGTCTATAAAAAATCACAGGGCTGATATCCACCACAATCAAATGTAACTTCAACCTAAATGTTTAAGAACATAAATATGTTAATAGTCACTCATTACTGCTGTATTTTTAATTATTATAAAAAAGAAAGTGTACTGGATTTTTCAAAACATTCTATTTGTATATAATTCAAGCCTATTATTCAAGTATTCAAGAGCAATAGTTGACAATCAGACCTGTCAAAAATTTAATCGTTTGATTTTGTGGGTCAGTTAATAGTGCCAGTTATTTGATTTTATCAAAATAAACTTACAAAAAAGTGATAAACTGTGATTAATGCTAATTTTTGATATTATAAAAAACGGAATCAGTTCATAATGGCATTTTTGACAAGAAGCAGCACCCTTCTGAAAGTTACACCTACGTTGAAGTTCAGATTATTTTGTGATGCTGCTGTGGATATAGGAAAGGTATTTTTGTATTTATATTCTTCTTAAATAGTATAGAAAAGCTATTTATTTATTGTAGAAAGGATTAGTTCTTGGCGTCTTTAAAGAAAACAAAACATTAGTCCTAACTTCAACTGCAAAAAGATATAACCAACAAACCCAGAATAAGCTGCAAAAACAAGTAGAATTGTAAGTAAAAACTATTAATTATTCCTAATAATCTGTTTCCAGTAATTGATGTTGAATGCATTAGTTTTTGAACAAATTATAAGGAAAGCTATGCAGTTATGTTATTGCATTTTGAAATCGATTGTAACATCTATTGTGCTATAAATTATATTATCAAAGCATCTCTATCCAGTATAATATGTTATCCCCTGCTTTACTTTCTTTTCATTCTTTTCACCCTTCACCTAAGCTGACCTGAAACTTTCATTTTTTATTTCTTATAAGACCTTTTCAAGTCCTAGTTATTCCCAACATTTTGAATATGTAGAATTTCCTTTTAAAAACTCTGTTTGACTGTTTCAGGTCGGTATCCATCTCTTTTTAATCCCTCTTAACTGTCCAAATCACCACCATCTAAATATTCCATTAAAATGGCCACTGGTGGCCATGATGGACGTGGAAGTGCAGGATCTACACATAGTTTTGGCAGCAATCCAACAACCAGATCATCTGTAAGGACACCAAAACGTCAGAGATCAGCTCCAGGAAGCAGCCAATCTACTGAAGAAAAAAGTGATTTTCTTTGCCCAGTTTGTTTCAACTTAATTGAAGAGGCTCACATAACAAAGTGTGGACATACTTTTTGCTACAGTTGCATATTAAAGTGCATTGAAACGATGAAACGATGCCCCAAATGCAACTCACCACTTCTCAGTGCCGAGCAAATCTTTCCAAATTTCCTTCTGAACGACGTCATAAAAAAACACAAGATGCGTATGAACGGTTTGGAGTCCTTGGGGTTGAGCAGAGAAAGTTCAAACGAATTTTCTACCCTTGCCGATGGTTTACGTGACTTTATCGCTTCTGAATCCCAAAATCTTACATTACCAGATGTGAATATAATGCTGGAAATATTGACCCAGAGGAAACAACTACTGGAAGCTGAATCATGTGCTGCACAAAACAAACTGCTCCTGGAATTCTTAAAACTCTTACTTCAACAGAAAGAGGAGCAAAAGAACCAAATAATTAAAGAGGTGAACATAATAAAGCATGACATTGATGAGGTTGAAAGGATTCTTAGAGAAGTCCATAGTAAATGTCCTACTTTAGAAGATGTAGAAAGGGCTGTAGGATCAGCTTCAGATGGTGATTCTGCAGTTCGAGCCATGAAAAAGGAAATGATTGAAATCATAGATAATATAGAATCAACTACGAAAAAGGACGACGCATCATTTGTACCCCAGGCCGGTAGCGAAAGTACCAAACATCCAGGATTGTCCTCTTTGGCCACTAGAAGAAGACGAATGCACGCACATTTTGAAGATTTCGTCCAATGTTACTTCACCACCAGGTCCAAAGATTTATTTTTCAAGGATACCGAAAAATCTCCTAAACTTACCGAATCTTCTTCAAGTTTGAACGAATTCCGAGAGAATCTTGTCAAATTTTCACGTTACAACTCATTAAGACCACTTGCCACCCTAAATTATTCCAACGACCTCTTTAACAATTCTACAATCGTTTCCAGCATAGAATTTGATAAAGATAACGAATTTTTTGCAATAGCTGGAGTCACAAAAAGGATAAAAGTGTTTGATTATAATGCTGTTATTCAGGACTCTGTGGACATTCACTATCCTTGCATGGAAATGGTATCTAGCTCGAAGATCTCATGTGTGAGTTGGAACAGTTATCACAAAGGTACTCTTGCTTCTAGCGACTATGAGGGCACTGTTACTATTTGGGACGCATCTACTGGCCAGAGGACAAAAACATTTCAAGAACATGAAAAGAGATGTTGGAGCGTTGATTTTAATGACGTCGACACCCGACTTATAGCATCCGGATCGGATGATGCCCGAGTGAAATTGTACTCTTTGAATGTAGAACATTCAATAGCAACCTTAGAAGCAAAAGCAAATGTCTGTTGTGTTAAATTCAATCCTCGAAGTTCCTGTCATCTAGCATTTGGAAGTGCGGACCATTGTGTCCACTATTATGACCTGAGAAATATGAAGGAGCCTGTTAGCGTGTTCAAAGGTCACAAAAAAGCTGTTAGTTACGTTAAATTTCTCAACAGCGAGGAAATAGTATCAGCATCGACTGATTCGCAGTTAAAATTATGGAATATTAATACTCCTTATTGTCTGAGGTCTTTTGTGGGGCATATTAATGAGAAAAATTTTGTGGGATTGGCTACAGATGGCGACTATGTCGCCTGTGGATCGGAAAATAACGCCCTTTATATTTATTATAAGGGTTTGACTAAAAAACTTTTCAGTTACAAATTTGAAGCTACAAGAGGGGTTTTAGAAAATGAACGCAGAGAGGATGAACCTAATGAGTTTGTATCAGCAGTGTGTTGGAAACAACACTCGAATGTGGTCGTAGCTGCTAATAGCCAAGGAACTATTAACATTTTAGAGCTCGTTTGAAAGCGGAAATGTCGTTAATTATTATTCGTTAGTATTCGACAAAATATTGTGTTCGACATTGTCTTTCATGTGATAGAGAAAATTTAAATGTGTAAGACCAATATTGATTCCTCTCGCCTTTTGTTTTTGTGGTGGTTTTTAAGGTATTTTAGATTGGGTGTACATTGATAAATAATTTTTTAATTCAATCGCTTTTGCACCTGTTAATTATCAATTCAGTTGTGCTAAATAATAGCATTTTAATTTATTACAAAGCAAAAAATTAAATATGCTATTCGTTTTTTAAAAAATGTTTTTTTTTAAAGTTATAATGAAAAAGACTGTTTATATGGTAGCTGAGAAAAGTTTTGAGTATCGATTAGAAATTGTGAAAATCATTTTGGAAATTTACAAATTTAAAATAATGACGATAACTAATTTACAAATCAAAGAGCTTTACAAACGTATTTGTATTTTAATACATACGCATAACATGGCTTGATCAACTTTACTTTTATTTACTAAATATGATATTGATAAAATAAATAATTGATAATTTCATTATATTGTAAAGTCGATTAAATAATACTGCCAACTGTACCTACTCTTAATATAGTTTTGCTACTACAATTTCTCCTCAAAACGTTTCAGCAATAAGTACAAATGCTAAGAAGGGTATATCTTTTCAAATGTGAAATTGAACAAGAACGAATCATTTCAAAAAACTTTAATAATTGTAAAAATAAATAAGAAGCTGTAAACGCTTTGCAGTTTTTTACTTAAATATTTATTAATTCAGAATATTTTATAAAAAACAGTTCCAAAATTTCAAATTAAATTTTCTATAAATGCACGTTTCATTGTGTTCCTTTTAGTGGTTGTTTTGTACCTATATATGTATTACTGCCTTCTAGTTTTTGTACATCAATTGTTTTCATCGGTGGTTGTGAAAAAAATTGGTAATTGGGGGTAAAAATCTCACTCTTTGTTAATGTTTGCTCCTAATGATTTGCTGATTTATAAATAATGCTATTTTTGTCTGGACTTAATAGATACAAACTGGAAACATCTTTAGTATTTATAGCTAAAAATAAATCACGTATAACGTTCGGAGATGTATAAATTATTTTTAATAGTTTATTGAAACGGTATATTGTACAGAAATTTATGTATACACAGTTATATCATTTTTTACTGTTAGTGTTCAATAGAGAATTCATTATATTGTAATGATGTGATGGCTTCAGAAATCATAAATTGCAGGGGCTCTTGTCTGAACTGTATACACATACATTTATATTTTTAATTTTTAAATGAAAAATGAAAGCAAATTTAATTATCTATGTAATACAAAAAATATTTACAGGAGCCGTTGCAATGTATAAATTCCATTGATGTTTTTGCTCATTTAATTAATTACATACATGCATATAATTGTGCCAAATTTACAGTGTCGGTGTCTTAGGAAAACTGCACAAATTAACATTCGTCGTTAATTAATATGAGTGCTAGAACTACTTAAATGACTGAGAAAGTTATATAACATTTTTAGGGATGTTACTTTGTTGTCTACTTAAGCATTTGTTATTAGAATTCATAAATATATTTTCGGACGATTGCTCACATGCATTAGAAATGATAAATAGCTATTTGAAATTCCATGTGTTAGTTTTGTAGATTTAAAATCGGGGCTGTATTAGTGTTAACTATTTTCATGATATTTTTCTGTTGTTTGTTATTGGTAGAATCAATATATCATTTCTTGCTGTTGTATCATGTCGATAGCAATAAAGTATTCATTACTAGTTACTACAATTATTATTTTATACCACAGCACTTCACTCTTAATTGGGTTTTAACGCTCAAATTTAAATTATGACTTACATTATTCTTTTTGGTAGACCTGTTGTTGTCTTAGGGCTGAAGGAGTGCTCAAACAGGGCAAAACAGTAGTATTTTGGGGATTGGACGGAAATTCTGAGTATGACGCCGTAGCTGTTGTTGCCTTGAATAAACCATCAAAAGGTTTTAACAAAAGTGAACAACTTAATGAAGAGTTAGATACTGTAAGAACCAAAGCTGCAGGTATTTTTTTCCATCAGTGTAGTATTATAGTTTTTAATCGTGTGTTTCTCTTTCTAGATGGTTGTAGAGTTTTAAAAAATCTGGGATTCAGAAAAATATTTGTAGAAAGTTTTGGACACGCAGAAGCTGCTGCAGAGGGTAGTATTTTAAGTACCTGGAGATTTCAGTCTTTTAAAACAAAAAAAGACGCACCTTTGACTATCTCTCTATATCCTGAAGTTAATCCAAATGCTGATGATGAAAACACCTTGTGGAACAGAGGAGTGACAAAAGCGTCATCGCAAAACATAGCTCGTCGTTTAGCTGACTGTCCAAGTAATCATATGACTCCTCGCATTTTTGCAGAAGAAGTCACAAACTTGTTCAAATCTTCGAATGTGAACGTACAGATTTATGACAAAGAATGGGCAGAGAAACAAAAAATGGGAGCGTTCCTCTCTGTTACCAAGGGCTCTGTTGAACCTCCTGTATTTTTAGAAATCACCTACTTTGGTTCAGATAAAGAAACACAACCCATAGTTTTAATCGGTAAAGGAGTTACATTTGACTCTGGAGGAATCAGCCTTAAACCTCCTTCGAATATGGACGAAATGAGAGCTGATATGGGAGGTGCTGCCTCATTGATAGGAACCCTAAATGCCGTTGCACAGTTTAAGTTTCCAATAAATCTAAAAGTACTTATACCTCTATGTGAAAATATGCCCTCTGGTACAGCAATTAAACCGGGGGACGTGATATTCGCAAAGAATGGAAAATCGATTTGTGTCGACAACACAGACGCCGAGGGACGTCTTATTCTTGCAGATGCCTTGTGTTATAGCGAAACATTAAATCCTAAGTTCGTTGTGGACGTGGCGACCCTTACAGGTGCCATAAGGATCGCTTTAGGGAACGTGGCAGCAGGAGTTTTTACAAATGACGACGAGTTGTACGAGGTTCTGAAGGAAGCAGGATCTAACTGTGGAGACAGAGTGTGGCGGATGCCTCTTTGGAGTCATTTCTCTAAACAAGTTACGGAACATGCGGCGTACGACATAAATAATATGGGCAAGGGAAAGGGCGGAGGTTCGTGTGTAGCAGCCGCATTTCTAAAGGAATTCGCACCCAAAGGAAAAAAGTGGATGCATTTGGATATCGCTGGAGTTATGGGGCCCAGTGATGACACTCCGTATCTATCAAAAGGTATGACTGGTAGGCCTACTAGAACTCTAATAGAATTTTTAAATTTAGTAAGTAATAAGTAAAATTCTTTTCATTAAATATTTAGTTATGGTCTTTCACAAAATAAAGTGAATATGAAACTGTCACCCCATTTCGTAGTTTTCTTCTAGGAAAAATACTTGTTATATTCATAAATGTTTATTTATCACAAAATTTCAGCATAATTCGGTAACGTTACATATTTTTAAAATAATATGCGTGACACAGAATATTTTCAACTGGACCACAAATTAATTCGATGTAATATTATCATTATTTATTTTCTAAAGGAGAAGGCAAACCCTATAACTCGAAAGCTAGTTTTACAATATACCTAATAATAATTACCTACTATTAAATTTGCTACTTTATCGGAGTTTTAGGATTCCCTTTGAAAAAGATATATCATACAAACTTATTGTAAGTATCTCTTTAAAATCTGTAGTTCTTGCTTAAACTGAATACTCCTAAAACTAAATAAAATAGTACTTAATATGTAGTAAAACATTGCTATAAACGTTTTGTTTTTGCAAAATATTGCTCTTTCTTGCCCTAACACCACAATACACTTTAAGAAATTCTCTTATCATTTAATGTTTTTTTTGTAATTTATTTATTTTTTGCGATTATACATAAGTGCTAGTGAGCTCCACACAAAAAAACTGGTGAATCAGTGACTTCATACGAGATTTTAAAAGCATTCATACATATAATAATATTGTATCACAAACTTTTTAAATACCGCTATCGATCTTTAAGCCAGCGATGTTAATTTGGAATGTTTATCGGTCTGACAAGCTGGTTAATTTAATAAAACCAAATTAAAATTTAATTCACGACTTAACAGTTTATTAGATAAAACAAATAACTTTGGTTTTAGCTAAGGAACGCACAAATCGAACTAAAAAGGCTCTGTAGCCTTTCTTATTACTAAAATCTTTTACTCCTAATAACGAATACATTTTAGATCGTTTTAATAAATGAAAAACTTAATTCATTGTATAAAGTATAATACGATTATCGTTTCCTTCAATTATTAACTATAACGTATAGTAAGTTATCTTTTTATTACTATTTAAAATTGGTAAAACAAAAAAAAAGATTTAAGAATAAAAATTATAAAGATAAAAATTGATAAATCTTTGAGATTCATATGTTAGTTATAATACCAGAACAAGCTAAATAATTAATATAATACATGCACGTTTAAAGTGGATAAATTAAAAAATAAAATCAGATCACTGTTTCACTAAGATAATAAATCTGCAGTATGAAAACGTATTATGCATTGTCTTTATCCTAAATATATTTTTAACTGCAGATTTGCTCAAAAATTTTCTCAAAAAATAAAGGAGGGGTTGTTCTGGTGACATAAGTAAATATAATACTAATAAATGGTACAATAATACTACAACTTTTCGAGTACGTATGACATATACGTTTACCCCAAGCTAAAAGCAGTCCTATAATGTGGGACTGATTCAAGCTGTGGGAGGGGGAGTTACGGGGAAACGTAATCCGGTAAAGCTCCGCGGCCACGACCTCTACCACGGCCTCTTCCTCTGCCTCGCCCCCTCCCGCGTCCCCGTCACCTTCTACCATCTGTCATCCCTATATTAAAATTGAATTATATGAAAATATATTAAGATAGTTCAAAATTATTTCGTACCTATATTGCTCGTATGTTAATAGTCACTCATTACTGCTGTATTTTTAATTATTATAAAAAAGAAAGTGTACTGGATTTTTCAAAACATTCTATTTGTATATAATTCAAGCCTATTATTCAAGTATTCAAGAGCAATAGTTGACAATCAGACCTGTCAAAAATTTAATCGTTTGATTTTGTGGGTCAGTTAATAGTGCCAGTTATTTGATTTTATCAAAATAAACTTACAAAAAAGTGATAAACTGTGATTAATGCTAATTTTTGATATTATAAAAAACGGAATCAGTTCATAATGGCATTTTTGACAAGAAGCAGCACCCTTCTGAAAGTTACACCTACGTTGAAGTTCAGATTATTTTGTGATGCTGCTGTGGATATAGGAAAGGTATTTTTGTATTTATATTCTTCTTAAATAGTATAGAAAAGCTATTTATTTATTGTAGAAAGGATTAGTTCTTGGCGTCTTTAAAGAAAACAAGCTGCTGTAGATGAGGAAGGAAAAGATATAAACCCCCACATACCTCAGTATATTGCAACTGCTCCTTGGTATTATGGGGCCCAAGGGCCCACTCTAAAACATCAGCGTCCCCAAGAGGACAAACAAAAGNTGTATCTTTTTTTTTTTTTTGGTACTCTAAAAGACATAAAAAGTTGTATTATTATTTTATGATAATTTTGAAAAGCAATAAAACTCAACAAATGTTTTCAAAATATTTATTTGATATCGATAAAAATAGTACAGACTTATAGAAAACTAAGTAATAAGCAACGTACTACTGTTAACGTTTCTATCATTAAACTGTATGATTTGCCACAACGTAGTGTTACACAGAAAATTTTTAATCACACTGCATTTAATTTACATTATAGATAATTAAGGGTATTCTGGAATATTTTTTGTTTTTGCTAAACCTACAAGGCACAATTGAGCAATAAATATTAGCGTATACTATAAAAGTCTGCAGTAATAGTAGTAGTAGTAGTATTGTGGTTTACAAAAGAAAGAGACAAAAATACTGCGAAGGAAAAACCCTGAGAATATCAAGCATGAAAAAAATGATACGTGTCTTTAACAGGGGGTGCGTCAGAAAATAAAAAGTTACGCGAGCTCTTAATCATATTTGTTTCGAAAATGAATTATCTGCTTTCTAATTTTTAAATTTTGAGGGGAACAGTTAAGCATTAACACAATATTATGCCTATAAAGACTGCTAGTGGAATGTTCCCTGAAAAACGTAACGAAGTTAACTGCAGCCGTAATTTAAATATTTAAAAGCGTCATATATAAAATGAAATAGAGTTGCAAAGAAGTTCATCGTTGCACCAACATTTCATGAAAAATTAAATCGTGATATGTACAGATATTATAATAAACGAGAAACTTTTGACGCTCTTAAATTATTCTCAATTACTAATTATGAAATCGTTTTAGTTTGTGCATAGAAAAGTAACAGAATTACTAAAAATAAGTTAATGAGAGTCATTGGCAACACATTAATAAAAATATTTCGACAATTTTGGCATCACGAACGACAATCATGCTTCATACTTCAACAGGTCAACGTCGATCTACCTGCATCTGTTGTTGAAGCTGTTGCATCTGTTGCTGTTGTTGTTGTTGTTGCATTTGCTGCAACTGTTGCTGCTGTTGTTGCATTTGCTGCAATTGCTGTTGCTGTAACTGTTGTTGCATAGCAGGACTCATACCAGATACAATCATCTGATTAGGGGTTTGGTTTCCAGGAACTCCCGAACTCATGGGCGACTGTGGAATCGACCCTGAGCCCCCATTGTTCATCATATTCGGAGTTGAGCCTCCCTGAGCTGGACTCTTTGCGTAACCCTGTAAATCACCTAACAGATTTTGCCAAACGATTATTTTATCGTAATGGCGTTTTAAAAGTTCATCTTTTCTGGCTAGTTCCAACCGGAGTTCGTTTATGTCTTCTTTAACTACCATTTCTGGTTTAAGGGCAGATAAAAGGAAACGCTTTTGAAGGAAAAAGGCTTCCATTTGGCGAGCCAAATCTATGAATCTTAACGTCGTTTGTTCCACTTCAGTCCTAATATCATCCTTATCTGTACTACCAATGGCTTCTTCTTTGGTCAGTACATTTAAACAGTGCTGAAATTATACAAAAAGAACAGATTAGGGAATATGTTCTTGTTAATAGAAATTTTAATTTGCAGTTTAAAAATTACTGCCCTATATGAAGGTAAATATGAATCTTGATGTCTTTAATCAATATCCCCTCATCTATCTTAATTAATATAATAAATATATAATGTAAGTATCTTTAGGAATAGCTTAATAATACATTTTCATACACTTTTGAGGAACTTTACCTGAAAAGCTTCTTCGAATTCATCTACCAAATTCCCACTGCCGTTTGTAGGAGTAGCCATGGCAGAAACAGGGGGTGATGCTTCCTTCATTGATGATTTCTTAAAGATTCAACAAAAACATAGGTACAACATAATCTCTCGAGCCTTCTAAATTGAAGCTTAACTATAGCATAAGCAAAGCAAATCACTACCCTACATTCAACATCTTTATACTGTAAACTAAACGAAATAAAACTTAATAACTATTTTTTAATTGTCGACCACATAAACTAAAGACGTTTTATATGTCTTTTACTGTTTTCTTGTCTTACCAAACGTATTTATTGATCCTTAACGTTTCTGCGTCATGTAAAGCTGCATCCGCTAAATTTCATCTAAAGCATGGTGCAAAACATTATCATTCAGACAGCTGAAGCGTGCCTTTGTTTTACTTACCCTTTTTTTATGGATTTGAACTTTTATTTACAATTAAAAAAGTATAATATTTTAATTATTAGGACAAATAGTCAGATCTGCTTCACTTACACTTATGAAAACATCTCAGCATCTCACAATTCACTCACGAATTGTGTGTTGCATATCTTGTCGCAGTGATTGAAGTGACGTGGTTAAGAGTATAATTAAAAATTTTAAAAAATGAATTTAATAACAGTTTTAGAATTAGTATTTTTCATTGGACTATTTCAGTTATCTTCTGCTCTTTATTTTCACATAGGAGAAACCGAAAGAAAGTGTTTCATCGAAGAAATTCCGGACGATACGAATGTTATAGGTTAGTTCACCTTCGGTGTCCCCATACGATTAATTTAATTTTATTATATTTTCTTAGTTAATTACAAAGTCGAGCTATATGATCCCAGAACAGGAGGGTTTATGCCTTCCTCACCAGGCATAGGAATGCACGTTGAAGTTCGAGATCCTGACGACAAAGTAATTTTGTCTCGCGTTTATAGTTCTGAGGGGCGCATTTCGTTTACTTCTCACGCCCCCGGGGAGCACGTAATTTGTATGTACAGTAACAGCAGTGCTTGGTTTGGTGGTTCACAATTGAGGGTCCATTTGGACATTCAAGTTGGTGAGCATGCAATCAACTATGGGGATGTTGTTCAGAAAGAAAAATTATCTGAGTTACAATTAAGAATTCGTCAACTTCTTGATCAAGTTGAACAAATAACCAAAGAACAGAACTATCAAAGAGTAAGTTTAGTAACAACCAATAGGGTTGTACATTAATGGTTTTTATTTTTTAGTATCGAGAGGAAAGATTTAGACAGACAAGTGAAAGTACAAATTCAAGAGTACTGTGGTGGTCTATAATACAAACAGTCATTCTTCTTGCTATGGGTGCTTGGCAAATGAATCACTTAAAACGTTTCTTTGAAGCAAAAAAATTAGTTTAGAAGTTTATTTGGTTTTTTTGTTTTAATTGCTTCTTTTGTAATAAAACTAAAATTTCCATTAGAGTTTTATTTCAATAGAAAAACTCAATCTAACAATAACATTTACAAGATATAACAATAATAATTACACGATATGAACTATAAAATTAGTTTTAATATTGTCTAAGTAAAACCCATGCATTTGTTTAAGTATGAGCTAAACACTTGTGGATTTGATTTTGGATATTTCTTTAATTGTCCTATATCTTTAGATAGAGTAACTAATAAGTTGTTACATGTACAAAAATATACATAAGTGCCTTTTTGTAGTTCTTCTGCCAATTCTATTTGGTGATTATCCATCAAGTCTTCATTTACAACAACTATAAGTGGTTTGCCTTCTTTAAGAACTTCCAGACAGGTACCAGCTCCTGCATGGCTGATAACTAAGTCTACATCTCTTATCTTCGATATAAAGTCGTCAATATAAGTGTAATAATTAATATTAACAAAGTTATGGGAGACTTTTGAGTAAGTACCTAAACCTGTCTGTAAATGCACTACAGAATAACCCAAATTGTGAAGCTTATTTAACGTTTCTTTTTGAGTGACTACTTGTATTAGCTTGTCAAACCTTGTAGTTCCGACTGTAACAAGTACTTCTTTCGATTTCATTTTAATTGCAACGAAAAGATGCTATAAGTTGATAGACGTGGAATAACCTAAAAAACGTCATCATTTTAATCCTCAAAATTATAAAATTCTGTTAGAAATGAAATATATAAAGGCAACCTTTGATTTTGTACCTGAAAATAATGGGGAAATTCTACAATATAATGTTCAAAATACCTTTAAACTTTACTATTTTCAAGCTATTTTTATAGGTTATGTTATTTTCTATCATAGAACAAATTATAAGGAAATTCTTTGTTGTTCTATGATCAGTTGTCATCATTACATTAACCACAAATATTTGTAGCTAACCGATATATGTAAACAGAAATGGCAACCCGAAAAAGAAGTGGTTCCGGCTCAAAAAGACAGCTTAAGGAAAAGGTAGTTCAGCTTTATGAGACCTTATTTAGAGGTGAAGACATTGCCAAGACCAGCTCTTTATTTTGGGATGAGTTTTTTCTGTTGAAACCCAAAATTCCACACATCGAGTCAGAGATACAAAAAATTACAACTGATAAAATAGACCTTATTAGAAACAATGTTACATTGCTGTTTTCAAAATGTATAGAAACGTTAGGACACGAACATAGTATAAGAGTCATTTATGCAATGCAAACATTATGTGCCTTAGTTCATAGTGTTTACTTGAGAAGTGCACTAGAGGACAGTAATATTATCAATTTGCTTCTAAATCCTCCAGAAACGGAGCAGAGGATGCAGATATTGTTTCATCATATTCATTCATTTCTTTCAGGTAAGTTGCTGAGCTGTGTTAAGCTATTTTTATATATTTAAAATTTTAAATCTTCTGTAAATTCTTTCCAGGTGAATCATCTGAAAGCTTGAAAAACTTATCTCTAAAGCTGTTGCTTATATTTGTAACAGGGACTGACAATATTAATCAAAATGTTTTGATAGAATTTTTGATGAGTGCATCACTATTTGAGACTCTTATGCAACTTTTGTGTGATCCAAAGTCTAGGCACCTTCATGGCCATGATGTGGTACTATTTCTTACTGTAATTGTAAACTACAAAAAGAATGAAAACTCAAATCCATATATTGTGAAATTGTCTATGGTAGATGATGAATTAGCTTTGAATGGCTATGGTCAAGTAATTACAGCAGCTCTAAACGACTTTTGTCGTCGATACAACGCCCAACATACAGAAGCACAAAATGGTTCCTGGTTGTCATCTTTAACTAACATTGTGGGGAACATGTTTGTTTCAGAAGAATTGGGAGTCAAAACACAACAGATGAGAGCAAATAATGCCTTACTGTTAGCTTTGTATGAAGCTATACATTTAAATAGGAACTATATTACAACATTAGCTCAAACTCAAACTGATACCAGCGCTCCTCCATCCCCTAGCAATACTTTACAGGCAGGAAAGACAACCCCTGATCTAGCAAGCGGGACTATTGAAGATGTAATGGCCCAAACTACTAATCTTCTAGTTACTTTTTTCCAATATTGGTATATCTTTAGATTTTTATTAATGTTACAGATTAAATATAACTTTTTTCAAAATTTCTAGTTCAATTGTGATGCAAGACACTAAGACTGAAGGTGGGGCCAATACTGTAAAGTTATGTTTCATTATACTTAGCTGCATAGCTGAAGACCAGTATGCAAACTCTATCATGCATGATATAAGCCTGACTTTCAGAGTACGTTTACATAGACTGCCCATGAGACATAGAAAACTGATATCAGATTGCCTTACAGCATCTCAACCTCTCGCCTCTACATTATTAGGTATAACATTTTTGTTTGTTCCATTGTTTAAAAATTAAATTTATGTAATTATTTTCAGATTTACTAATCGAATTTCTTATGAGTCATATGATGAAAAAGTTGCCAATAGAATTGTATCTGTTATGCTTGGGCATAATCCACAGGCTGTTGTGTTACCAAAAAAAATGCCGAGTAAGAATAAATTACCCCTGGAAGGACTTATGGACTGCCCTAATAGCTGTGCTGAAATTTGTGGTTCAAAATGAGAGCAATCTTGCCAAGAAAATGAATATTTTCGAATTATGTTTAAAAATACTTAACATATTCAATTTATTTATAACGTATGGCGACACTTTTCTACCTACCCCCGGCAGTTATGACGATTTGTATTACGAAATTATTCGTATGCATCAAGTTTTTGATAATGTTTATTCTTTAGGTAATTTCATCAAGTGCCTTTTTTTTAATTAGAATTTCCTTGAATAATTAACTTTATTTAATTGTTTTAGCAATATCTAGTCAATTTTCTTATTAAGATTTATTAAAAAATTAATTCTAAATATAATCTTTACTTATTTCTATGCAATATCTTAATAATGCATTTTTTCACAAAATTTATTATTTTGTAGCACTTACTTTATCAAGTGTAAAAATCAATAAAACTCTATAAAGCTAGAGTTTTGCAAAAAGTTTACAATATATTATTTATTTAAACAAATTGAATAATCATGCTTTTATTC